GCGGCTGCTCTCACCCGCTGAGACACTCCTCCTGTCTGGGTTTTTGTTGTTGTTGTTTTTTGCTTTTTTTTTATTGGTTTATGTTTTGCTTTTATTTATTTGTTTTTTTTTTTTTCATTCAAGATCTCATGCAGCCCAGGCTGGTCTCAGGTTTACTCTACAGTGGGAGATGGCTGTGGCTCTCAGGGTTGCCACTCCCAGCTGCAGACGGTGTGTGCTGTGGGCACAGAGGGATGGAAGGGAGGATGGATGTTTACTCAGTGGGATGATGAAATTGGCCTCATTTGTCACCGCCTCCCTCATCGCCGAGTTTCCGCCTACAGTGAGAACATTCCGGATCCACCTCTTTAGGGGACTGATCTATTTATTTACTTTTGTTTTTTTTGAGACAGGGATTCCCCTGTGTAGTCCTGGCTATCACTCTGTAGACCAGGCTGGCCTCGAATTCACAGAGGCCTGGCAAGAGGTGGGGTCTTTAAAATATGCAAAGTTGCAGGATGGTGGCAGTGCCATCAACACCTTGTTGATTGGTTGTTGTCACTGTGCCACTTGCCATAGACCCCTATTGACAGATAAGCCCTTGTCCCCGCTGGTTCCACGTCCCCTTGTTCTACTGCTGCTCCTATTTCATCACTCTTTCTCTGTATTTGAACTCTGTCTCTAGTTCGGTGAGACCTGTGGCTTGGGAAATGGGCTTGGTATCCGTTTCTAGTTGTTCTTGTTCCTAATTCAAAGCTTCGTCTTTTTAAAAAGGGTTAATTTTTACTAGTTATTATTATTCTTTTATGTTTATAGGTGTTTTGCCTGTATATATGTCTGTGTATCATGTGTGCAATGCCTGAGGTGGCCAGATTGGGTGTCTGATTCTCTGGGGCTGGAGTCCAGATCATTGTGAGCTGAGCGTTGAAGGAGCTGGAAACCAAACCTATCCACGATGTTTGAAAAAGTGCCAAGTACTTTTTGCTACTGAGCCATCCTCCAACCCCTCCTTCTGTCCTTCCTTCTTCTTTTCTTTTTTCTTATTTTTTGGAGGGTCTTATTATGTATCTCTAACTGCCCTGGAACTAGCTATGTAGACCAAGTAAGACTTGAATTCACAGAGATTCTCCTGCCTCTGACTTCCCAGTGCTGGGATTAAAGGTGTGTGCACCAAATCCAGCAAAGCTGATCTCTCACCCAGAACTGTTCCTCAGCTGGTGCCTTCTGGCTTTGTCCATCTGTCTGTGCAGGGGTGAACCTGAGTCACCTGGGCATTGATTCAGGCATCTGGGCGTTGTTCTAAAAGCAGGTGGGCCCAGGCACGTGGCGTCTGGAAAACACTCTGGGAGACTGGCAGTGCAGTAACTTGCTCCATATGTGGCACCTGCTGTCCACACACAGCTGTAACCCACAGGCCACAGGTGTCTGTGTGCACTGTCTTGCATAAAAACTTGTTCATCTTGACTATTCACTTACTTACCAGTATCTATCTATCTATAGCTGGCAACAGTGACCATTAGACAGAATCCAGCCCTGTAATTTACAATTACATATTCATTCTTTCATTCAGTAACTGGAGGCTGGAGAGACGGCTCAGCTGTTAAGCCCAGTATATTACTCTTGCAGAGAGCTGAGTTCAATCCCCAGCGCCTACATAATGCCTCACAAACAGCAGTAACTCCAGTTCCAGTGGATAGGGGAATCGGGAGGATGGGGACCACCTCTTCTGGCCTATGCAGGTACTACCTGCACCTTTTACACTCAGTCGTTTCCTTCTTGATATTAAAACAATAAATATTTACTACAGAGAACTTGGATGTAGCTGGGCGAGGATGCGCATACTTGTAATCCCGGCACTTTGGAAGATTGGTGGCAGGAGGATCCAGAATTCAAGGTCAAGCAGGGCTGTGGTAGGACACACCTTTAATTCCAGCACTTGGGAGGCAGGGGCAGGCAGAACTCTGTGAATTCAAGGCTAGCCTGGTCTACAGAGCAAGTTCAAGGATACACAAAGAAGCCTGTCTCAAAAACAAAAAAAATTCAAGATCATTGCTGGCTACACAGAGGTAGACTGGTCTACACAAAACTGTCTCAAAACAAAAACAAAAATGAAACAAGGTCCTAGACTATAGCTCAATTCGGTAGAGTGCTTCCCTTCCATTCACGAAGCTCAGGGTTCCATTCCTAGCACCTATAAAACTGTTTAGTTTCATACACCTGTAACCCTGAAGAGTCCAGGAATAGAATATAGAAATAAAGGGTGTAGGGTAAAGGACCAGCCAAAGAAACCCACCCTGGCTCTGAAATCAGAGCCAGTGAAAGAAACACATCCTCTGAGACCCAAGCCAGTGAAACAAATGCTTTAGCCCTGAAACAAAAACCAAAGAAACACACTTTGTCCTAAAATAAGAGCCAGTGAAAGAAATATGCCCTGGCCCCAAAACTAAAGCCAAAAAATTTTAGGCCAGTGACATAAACACAATTTGGCCCTGAAATCAGAGCCAAACCTGGCCCTGATAAACTAAACAGAACACCAGCCAATTCCTATGCAGGGAAACCAACCAATCCCTGAGCAGAAAACCAACCAATCCCTGAGCAGAGATCTAGCCAATCTGAGCTCAAGGGACTGAAAGCTGACCAGTTTTCACCCTGAAAATCTTCCTGCAAAAACTCCACCCCTGAGAAGTCCTGCACCTGTTTAGTTTGCTGCTGCCCCTTCTCCGTCCTGGGAGAGGGCAGAGGCAGCCACTCTCCTGCACTCTTCCCTCCCAATAAATCTCTTGAATGAGGTTTGGGTGAGACCTTCTTTTGCTGGAATGCAGCTGAGGAAAGAAGTAATAACTCTTAGCTAGAGTGGAAGAGATCTGTAACACTTTCAATTGGAAAACCTTCCCCTAGCTGAGTAGAGTTGATTACAAGCCAGGGCACCTGAACCAAACTGTAACAATTTCGCTGGGGAAGTTCTCTCCTGCTGGGGCAGAGCTGTTACACTTGGGAAACCTTTTTCTAGAGCAGGGCTGTAAACTAAGCATAATGTAACCTGTGATGTTCCCTGGCACCCGACTGCCAGAATACTCTTCCACCAGAGATGTAACAGTATTCCCTGGCCCTCGACTGTTAGAATTCTCTTCCACCCGACCTGTAACACTTAGTATTCCTTGGCTCCCAAATGCCAGGATCCCTTTCTATCTTAACAGCTTTTACAAAAGGCCCAGCCCAGGAATATAGAAATACAAAGTAGTAAGCCCAAACACATTTTGGGAGAAAAAAAAAATAAACCTGGCAGCTACTGTTAACTTTAACAAACACTTTCTGCCTTAAGAGCAGACATCCTAGCTGGGCGGTGGTGGCGCACGCCTTTAATCCCAGCACTCGGGAGGCAGAGGCAGGCGGATCTCAGTGAGTTGGGGACCACCCTGGTCTACAGAGCTAGTTCCAGGACAGGCTCCAAAGCCACAGAGAAACCCTGTCTCGAAAAAACCAAAAAAAAAAAAAAAAAAAAAAAAGAGCAGACATCCTGGCAGCCACTGTGTACAGGAAACTATTTTTTTTTAAAGATTTATTTATTATGTATACAGTGTTCTGCCTGCTTGTATGCCTGTATGCCAGAAGAGGGCACCAGATCTCATTATCAGTACCTGGGAGGTGCCATGTGGTTGCTGGGAATTGAACTCAGGACCTCTGGAAGAACAGCTAGTGCTCTTAACCTTTGAGCCATTTCTGCAGCCCAGGGAACTTTTAATAATTGTTTCCTGCCTTCCATCTTCCCAGCTAGGCAGGTCCTGCAGACAAAGGTTAGCTCCTAACTATTGCCTCTATGGGACCCTCTGCTTGTATTCCCTTAATTTTTAATTGTCCCCCTATGTGACTCTACTCTGTCTTGCATTCTTCCAGGGACAGGTAAAAGCGGCTATGTCGGCCACAGACTTTTACAAACATCCTGAGTTAGCATCCTAACTTCCTATAACCAAAAGCTGTAAAACTTAAAATGTAATGTGACCTTGCGTCTGACCTCAAGGTTGTAAACACTCTTTGACCAACACCCAGTGCTTGATTTTAATAGAAGAAGAGGCCCAAACCAGCCCCCATTGCCACAGCTACAGAAGCCCGATCTCTGGCTGTGGCCACAGCTCTAGCTGATAAGCTTTGTGCGTCCTGTGGTGATCTTTTTTTTTTTTTTCGCTTTTTCTGGAATAAATTTTGCTTCTGGTTTAATAGACTTTGGTGGTCTGTCCCCCATCACTGCGTGATCCCGGACCCAACAACCCTAGTACTTACTTGGGAGACATAGGCAGGAGGATCAGGAGATTCAAGGGTGTCCTCAGCTACAAAATGAATTCAAGGCCAGCCTGAACTGTATGAGACCATGATCTTAAAGCAAATAAATAGGGGCTGTTGACAATGGCACACACCCTTGATTCCAACACGTAGGGGGCAGAAGTAGTCAGATCTCTTGAGTTTTTGAGGCCAGTCTGGTCTACAGAGTGAGTTCCTGGTCAGCCAGGGAAACCTTATCTTGAAACCTTATCTTGAAAAACAAAATTAGAAAAAAAAAAAAGTAGGGGGGAGCGTTATCTGTCAGTCTCCAAAGCATGGATCCTTTAGAAACCCTTTCCGGAGAGTTTGGTAAACAGAGACCATTCCAGAGACAACGACGCTAGGGATGCAAGGTACAGAACAGGGCAGAGACTGGCAAGGGATGAAGAGGAATGTCAGGAAAGCCTGAAACGCTGGCATTTGAAAACTCGCTCTCAACTGCAGAAGGGATTAGTCGCTGGGCGCGACGGCTATACCAGCAGCCCCAAGCAGCCACTAGCTCCACCCCCTTCTGAGTAGCTCCGCCCCATTTTCCTGCGGCCCTCTAATCCTGGTAGCCAATCGGAAGAGAGAACAGGCCATTCCACACCGCAACCACACTTAGGGGGCGTGGCGGAAAGCGGGGGGAGGCGGGGTCGACGTGGGCACGTAGCCCGTCCCATTGGCCAAAGGCCACGGCGGCGCCGAGCGATCTGGAGACGTTCGTTGGTCCTAGCAGTGTCGGGCTGCATTGAGGCCACGCCCCCGCTCCCCGACAGGGCCTGGTTTGGTTGTGTTGCCGCCGGGAAAGGAGACGCTGCCCTTCCGCAGCGATGGGATCCTGGGTGAGTGGCAGCCACTGCGCGGGCGAGCAGCGCAGCAGGGTCAGGAGTGAGGCTTGCAGAGCATGGAGCCCAGCTCACGCAGGGGTCCGCGGCCCAGCTTGTCCTCTGAAGTGTCCAGGGTGGGATGAGTGGGCCCCCTGGACCAGGCGCGCGAGAGGATGCCTGGCTCTGGGGGTGGAACGAGGAGGGAGCTGGGTCAGAGAGGAGACTCCTGACCTGGAACGCCGTGGGTACTTGCCGGCCTGAAAGGAGCAGGTTTGCCGGCTGTAGGCAGAACCTCAAGGATGTTCTAGGGAGGTGGAGGCCAGAGAGAAAGGTCCCTGCTCTGGCTCCGCAAGGAGCAGATGCTGAAGCTGGGGATATTGCCGATATCTACTCTGGGGATGCCTAGTCTCCAAAGAGATCCCACAGAGATGTCCCGGGATCGAAAAAAACAGGATATGAGGCAGAGGGTGGCTTAGGACCGTCTGGTCTGGGACCATAGCTGGGTCAAGGTGGAGCGAGAGAGAATGTTCAGGCCAGAGTCATTAGTAGGGGTGTCTTGCCCAAGAGAGGAGGGCCTGGGATGGAAACCCGGGATATCAGGTCTAGTGTGCCATGGTGGAGGAGTAGACGAGGCGGCTGGCATTAGAAGTGAGAGGCAGGCATGATATGGTGGTGTTGAGCTTGGACCCTTCTTTTCTGTGAAGTGACCTTTCTCTTGATGGGCACAGCCAACACTAACTGGACTTTCCTGCAAACCTGACAGGCCTCTCTCCCCACCTCCACCTGCCTCAGCCCTAGCACAGGCCTTCCTCAAATTCCATGTGGCCTTCTCAGAAGTTCAAGGCCCCGAAGCCCCTCAGGTTTGGAGTGGGCAAGCAGCAGACAGGAACTAGGATGCTCACCTACAGCCTTGGGACCTCATCTCTCAAAGCCTCCCTTTGTGTATCTTTGTGGTAAACGGTGGCTACCTCGAGGGTCCTGAGAACCACTGCACGCTCTTGCTCAGAGTTGTCACAGCGAACTGGCCTGTTGAAAAGCACAGGCAAGAATATCTCCTGTCATCAGATGCCCTTGACTCCCACCCAAGGCCAAGCCAGGCTGGAGTTTGGAGGAGGACCTGTGAAGGTTATAGCTCACCTCACAGCCTCCAGGCAGCACATCTGCCCTTGACATGGGGTAATTTCTTCAGCCACACTCACTCTTGCCCGCCCTCTGCTCCACTCCACCCCTCAGCCTCAGCGCCAGCCTGATCGGGCTGTGTGCCTTCCCCACTCACCAAGGATAAGCTGTTCCTTGTTCATCTCTTGTGCTGGCCACCATCCCAGGAAGACAGGGTCTACCCTAGCCTGTTCATTCCTTCCTCTTGAGAACCCAGGAGTCGTCCTTGAACTTGACCGTAGCAGTGGGCGCCCCCTGTAGGGTCTTGGGGTCTCGGTTATATGTGATCAAACCACTGATCTGGCCTCCGGATAAGATGGTGGGGAGTCCCTGAGGTGGGTTTTGGGGACCCAGAGGAGGCTGTCTTCGCCCTCTGTGGCCCTGCTGGGGCTGCACCGCCTGCCCCTGCTGTGTTTAGCGGTATCTAGACCTTGAAGTACCCTCTCTCCGCTTTGGACTCCTGGCTTAGGCTCTGGAGACTCAGTTTCTTCCTCAGAAGGTGGGAGAGGCAGGGAGAAACATCTGCCTGTATAGTTGGCTCTTGACAGTAAACTCAGCACTCGTGAGATCAAAGGGAGAGAAGTATCTTGAATTCAAGGCGAGGCTGTGCTGCAGTTTGAGACTGTTTCAAAAATAAATATGAATAAAAACAAACAAAAACCCATCGCGACCTCCAGATCAGCACAGACCTTTAGGCCGCAGGAAGTGAAGCATTCCTAGCTTTGTGAAAAGAACGCCATGCTTCTCAGCCCGGAGCCCGAGAGAACTTTATTTAGAAAATGACCTGTATGTTTAAAAAGGCTGAGAAAGTGCAGAAGGCCCGAAGTTAGAGGGTGACCTATTTATCTCCCAGTCTCTGGGTTCTTTCTGCAACCAGCCTGCCACACACGCTGCCTTCTGCTCCCAGGCAGGTAGGTGTCTGTATATGGTTGTTGCCTGCCTGCAGGGGCAGCGTGGGGCCTGGGATTCTAGATGCACCCTTGGTGTTCATCCCACTCAATGAAGGCAGCCCCCCCCTCCCAAGTGCTACATGCTAGACAAGTGCTTTAAAAAAAAGTGAGGCAGGCCGGGAGGTGGTGGTGCACGCCTTTAATCCCAGCACTCGGGAGGCGGAGGCAGGCGGATCTCTGTGAGTTCGAGGCCAACTTGGTCTACAAGAGCTAGATCCAGGACAGGAACCAAAAGCTACGGAGAAACCCTGTCTCGAAAAATCCAAAAAAAAAAAAAAAAAAAAAAAAGTGAGGCAGGTTGGCCTAAATTGCCCAGTCATTTTTGGAACTTTGATCCTCCTGCCTCAGCGTCCTGAGCAGCTGGGATCAGAAGCCTGTAGTGAGGTGCCCAACCCCTGAGAACACGCTTGTTTTTTTATTTTTTTATTTTTTTTTTTTTAGTTGTTGAAAAAAAAAATTTCCGCCTCCTCCCCATTTCCCATTTCCCTCCCCCTCCTCCCACACATTGCCCCCTCTCCCCCCTCCCCCCTTCCCTCCCCTTCTCCCCCTCCCCACCACTCCATTCCCCCTCTCAAGAATGAAGAGCAGTCCAGATTCCCTGCCCTGCTGGAAGTCCAAGGTCCTCCCACTTCTATCCAGGTCCAGGAGGGTGAGCATTCAAACAGGCTAGGCTCCCACAAAGCCAGTTCATGTATTAGGATCGAAACCTAGTGCCATTGTTCTTGGCTTCTCATCAGCCTTCATTGTCCGCCAGAGAACACACTTGTTTACATCTCTTTATTTTTGCTCATGTGTATACCTTTTTTTAAAAAAAATTAAATGTGTATGTGTGGGGTGTTTTGTGCATGCATGTGTATGTGTGTGCACCATACATGTACCTGGTACCTTCAGAGGGCAGAATAGGCCATCAGATCCCCTTGAGCTGGAGTTAGAGACAGTTGTGAGTCACCATGTGGGTGCTGGGAATCAATTGAACATGAACTTTCTGGAAGAATACCCAATGCTTTCAACTGCTGATCCAACCCTCTAAACCCTAGGCTTTTTTGTTGGGTTTTTATTTTTGTTTTTTGAGACAGGGTTACTCTATGTAGCCCTGACTGTCCTGGAACTTGCTTTGTAGACCAAGGCTGGCCTCAAACTCACAAAGATCCTCCTACCTCTGCCTCCAAAGTGCTGGGATTAAAGGCATGGATCACCATGCCCAGTTTAAAACATTTTTTATTGGGGCTGGAAAGATGGCTCAGTGGTTAAGCATGCTTGCTTCTTTTCCAGAAGACCTGAGTTCACTTCTCAGCACTTATCAGGTGGTTCACAACTGCCTATAATTCCAGCTCCAGGTATCCGGTGCCATCTTCTGACCTGCAAGCATCTGAACCCATGTGGCATTTACACACACATAAACAAAATAAATTGTGTATTTGAGTGTTGAGCACCTGCCGGAGGTGCACGTGGAAGTCGGAGAGCAGCTACGGGGTCAGGTCTCTCCTTCGTGTCTAGGCTCATTTCTGTTGCTCACATAAAATACCTTAGCAGAAGTAACTCGGGCAGAAGGGGTTTGTTTGGCTTGCTCCAGGGACAGTCCATCACTGGGAGGAAGTCACAGTGACAGAATCTCATGACACCTGCTTGCATTACATACGCAGTTAAGAGGCAGAGAGCAAAGAACACAGTCCATGGCTCTAGCCCAGAGAGTGGTGCCACGCTGTGGATGGGTCTTTCACCTTAATTAGCATAGTTAATCCCTCATGGATATGCTCAGAAGCCGGCACCCTGAGTAACTTTAGATTTTTGTCAAGCTAGCAGCACATTGGACCTGGAGAACATTCTGGAGAATTCGGCGGTCAGGCTGGCTCAGCAAGTTCTTTAAGCTGCTTGGCTATCTCACTGACCTGAAGCTTTTTGGCAGGATTGGGTATTGAACATGGGGAGGGAGCCTCCACTGCTCAACCCCAGCCCTGTTTGCCCCTTCCTGTGTCTCATCCGGTCGTCTGTCCCTCAGCTCTGTGGAAGGACCTTCTGTTATGTGTGCCCCTGCCTTGCTGGCATGTGGGTGGTGCCCAGGACCCGGCCAGAGACCAGTTGAAGACCTCGGAAGCTCTTACCCCAAGAGTTCCCGCCTCGGGTGCTTGGTCTGCCATGGCGTTCCGTCGTACTGAGGGTATGTCCATGATCCAGGCTCTAGCCATGACTGTGGCTGAGATACCCGTGTTCCTGTACACGACATTTGGTCAGGTAAGATGGGTATGGTCCTACCCAGGGGTCCTCAGCACCTGGGAGAGCTGAATCCGTATCATGGCTATACTGTGTGTCTTTAGTTAATTTCTCATTGCTGTGATGAAATACCTTAGCAGAGGAAGAGAGCATCTGGGCTCACAGTTCCAGTGGGCTATAGTCCATTGTGTGGGAGGCTTGGCAGCAGAAGTAGGAAGCAAACAGGCTGACAGGTGCAAGCTTACCAGTGCTTAGCCCCCTTTCTCCACTTTCCACAGGGGACCTTGCCCTGCCCAGTAGTGGTCTCCTCCACAGTTAGGATGGAGAGTCCCTGGTGCTGGAGAGATGGCTCAGAAGTTAAGAGCACTGGCTGTTCTTCCAGAGGTCCTGAGTTCAGTTCCCAGCAACCACATGGTGGTTCACAGCCATCTATAATGAGATCTGGTGCCCTCTTCTAGCATATAGGCATACACACAGACAGAGCATTGTATACATAATAAATAAATGTTTAAAAGAACAAAGACAGAGTCAGGGCCTTCAGCTCAGCCTTCACCCTAAGGCTAGGTAACTTCTTGACTTCAGTTTGTCTATGGGCATGCTGACTAAATTCCTTAACGCCCCCTAAAACTTTGTTTTGTGGGACAGAGTTCCACCTGGGCCAGCAGCAGAGAGTGGCCAGGATGAGCCTGTGTGAGTGGAGTGGTCTGGAATAGTGTGTCATTAGCTCCAGATATCATTGGGAAATGGAGCTGTCAGGTCTGGGTTTGAGTTGTGTGTTGGTCATTTGGAAGGTGGTAGAGACTGACAGATGGCGCAGGTCAGGCCCTGGTGCAGTGCCTGGTGCTGTGCCCCTGCAGGCACGGAATTGTGACCAGCAGTGTGCAGGGCACACCGGGGCCCAGGTCCTAGATTCATCTCCTCAGCAATGTACTATGCTGTCTTTATATTTCTGGTTCACATTTGAGAAAAACTGCCTGATTTACTTTTTAGTGTCCCTTGTCTTGTGATCGGCAGAGGAACACTGTGCCCACACCTCAGTGACATAACCAGGCCACCGTCTCTTTCCTCCAGTCTGCATTCTCCCAGCTGCGGTTGACACCAGGCCTGAGGAAGGTTCTTTTTGCCACAGCCCTTGGGACTGTGGCCTTGGCCCTGGCTGCCCACCAGCTGAAGAGGCGCCGGCGGAAGAAGAAGCAGGTGGGCCCTGAGCTGGGAGGTGAGCAGCTGGGTCCAGTACCCCTGCCCATCCTCATGGCCCGCAAGGTCCCTTCAGTGAAGAAAGGTAGGTGTGTGGTAGGGGAGTCCTGACGTCATCACAGTTGTCACGGTTCAGCGCTCTTCTCTGTGGGGTCTTGGGCTAGTGCCTTCCCTCCTCACAGCCATGCTCCCTGAAGTAGGAAGGCTAGAATCATTCCTTAAGACCCTAGGCTCAGTCTTGGTGGGTGGTGTCGGTCCTGGATGTCTTCATTTCCTCAGAGGACACAGGTCAGGGCCTAGGGGTGCCAGTTTCCTCCTGCTCAGGACTAGGAGGAGCCATGGGCTTCAGGAGCCCAATCATATTTCTCGTATTCCCCTTTTTAAGTGAAAAGGGATTTGCATGTAGTAATGCAACCCTTTTAGTGTATCCTTCTGAGCTGGAGACAGGGCCGTCAGAGAAATAAGCCACTACGGGGAAAAAACCTTTTTTTTTTCTTTTTAAATTTATTTTCACCAAGCAGTGGTGGCGCACACCTTTAATCCCAACACTTGGGAGGCAGAGGCAGGTGGATCTCAGTGAGTTTAAGGCCAGCCTGGTCTACAGAGTGAATTCTAGGACAGCCAGGGATACACAGAGAAACCCTATCTTGAAAAACAAAACAAAATTATTCTGGTGTTTATATGTACACGTGTGTAGGTGTGTACTGTGGTGTCCTTGTGGAGGTCAGAGGACAGCTAGAAGAGTACTTCTTCCACCTTGTGGGTTCTGGGGTCAAGCTGAGGTCATCAGGCTCAGCAGCAAATGCCCTGCCCATCGCACCATCTTGCTGGCCCTAGAAGGCTCTTAGCAGCCCCTGGAAATCTTGCCACATGTCATTGTCCTTTTGTTCTCCTCCCAAGGCAGAGTGTTCCCGTAGGTTCTCAGCTTGAGAGAGTCAGTTTCTCACCTTGCAAAGTAGATTTTAAAGCCAGGTGTGATAGCGTGCCTGTAATTCTAGTTCTGGAGGCCAAAGCACGAGGGTGGACAGTTCAAGACTGCCGTGGGCTGCAGACTGAAACAACCAAAATCTATATGAAAAGTCAAGAAAGATAAGGAAAATGAGGTTTCAAAATTGCTTTATTCGTGTATTTTGGGTTTATTTATTTACTGGGCATGTACCATGGAGTACATGAGGTGATCAGAGGAGGCTTGTGGGACTTGGTTCTCTTCTGCCACCACATGGGTCCTAAGGATCAATGTCAGGCTGTCAGGCTTGGTGGCAAGCCCTTTCCCTGCTGAGCCCTCTTCCCAATCCTGTTGTTTAAGATCTATGTGTTTATTTTGTGTGTATGAGTGTATGAGTGCTTTGCCTGCCTGTGTGTATATCCACTGTGTGCCTGTGGAGGGCGGAAGAGGGCACTGAGTCACCTGTGACTGGAGTTAGGGATGGTGTGAGCCACCAGTGAGGCCTCGGCGTTGCCTTCGCCTTGCACCTTGTCTGAGATGTAGTCCTTGGTTTTCCACAGCCGAATGCACAGGCTAGCTGCCCTTTAGCTTCTGGGAGTCTCTAGTCTTTGCCTCCCATCTCTCCCTAGGAATGCTGGGATAACAGACATGGACCACTTCATCTGACTTTACATGGGGTCTGGGGATTTGAACTCAGTTCCTCATGCTTGTGTGGCAAATGCTTTACCCATTGAGCCATCTCCCAGGCTCTTATTCTCCCACCTGCACCCCCCGAGTCGGGGATCACAGTGCCTGTGCCCACCGTGCCCAGTTTATGTAGTGCTGGAGGTCAAACTCAGGGCTCCTCTAGTTGAGCTAGAGCCTGGCCCTTTCATGTTTTTATGTTGTCTATTCTTGCAGGGTAGGGTGAGTGTGTGTGTGTGCCGGGGTGGATGTGTGTGTGCTGGTGTGTGTGCGTGTGTGTGCGTGTGTGCCAGGGTAGGTGTGTGTGCCGGGGTGTGTATGTGCGCCTGGGTGAATGTGTGTGCCATGGAGTGTGTGTGTGCTGGGGTGGGTGTGTGCAGGTCAGAGGACAACTTTTAGGAGTTGGTTCTTCCTTCATCGAGGATTGAACCAGGTTGTTCGGCCTGGCAGCAAGTGTCCTTACCTGCTGAGCCACCTGGAAAAGAGAATTCTTTATCAGTCACTCAATCAAGCACACAGGCAAACCAAGCAAGAGGTAGGGAAGTGACCCTGCCTTGCTCTCAGCTTGTCCCAGTATTTGGAGCCCGCCAGTGGGCCTGGCCCTGTGTTAAATCAGCAGGCCACAGGAAGGGCCCCTTTCCTCTGCCTCTCCCTACAACAGTATACTCTCAGGGCCATCTGCTGGTGTTTTGCCTTAGGAGCTGAGGCCATCAGAAAGATGAGGATGGCCGGGCGGTGGTGGCGCACGCCTTTAATCCCAGCACTCGGGAGGCAGAGGTAGGCGGATCTCTGTGAGTTCGAGACCAGCCTGGTCTACAGAGCGAGTTCCAGGACAGGCTCCAAAGCCACAGAGAAACCCTGTCTCGAAAAACCAAAAAAAAAAAAAAAAAAAAAAAAAAGATGAGGATGGGCTGGATGGTCCGGGTGGAGGATGTGTGCAGGGTCCACCCTTCTCCCTACAGGCTACTCCAGCCGGAGGGTTCAGAGCCCCAGCAGCAAGAGCAACGACACTCTCAGCGGCATCTCCTCCATCGAGCCCAGCAAACACTCAGGCTCCTCCCACAGCCTGGCCTCGGTGAGGAGCCAGGGCGGGATCTGTGTGGGGCAGGTACCACCAGGACACTCCTGGACTCTGCCCTGAGCAAGCTTCTGGACTGTTAGATGAGAGAGAGGCCCCCTTCATTCTTCACATCCTCATGTGTGAAGTCGGCCTTCAGAGGCTGGGGGTGACGGTTGGAGGCACCAGTTTGAGATAAGTGTGTAGGCGCCAAACAGGAGCTTATCCGGAGGCTTGGGCCGCAGACACTGAGCAAGTGCCTGGGAGCTGTCCAGGATGGGGCCGGGCACTGAGGGTCTAGAGATAAGGATACAAAGGTGAGCACTGTTGCGCTGGAACTCAGCTTTGTGAGTCCATTCAGCAAGGACCCGGCTGTAGCTCTAAGCCCGGCTCTGGCTCTGCCCTTGCCCTCAAGTCTCCTGTGGTAAGGTCGAGGCCACTCTTGTGGTGGGGAGGCTCAGAAACAAGGCGGCAGCTGTCCATCCTCCTTGTCTGACTGGTAGAGCCGGGACTGGGGTCCAGTCTGGTTTCATACATGGCTGTTGGTATCAGCCTGTGTTTCTTTACACCAGCAGTTTCTGTGGTGCATCGTCAAGCTGTTCTGGGGTTATGGGTGCTGGCCGAGCCCCGGGAGATATCTAGGAGGGTGTATGGCTTGTGGTCAGCCTGTGGGTGGGTTTAGAGGGGGCCCACAAAGGGCCTCACTTCTTATCTGTATCCTTGGTCCCCAGATGGTAGTGGTCAATTCATCCAGCCCCACAGCTGCGTGCTCAGGTTCATGGGAAACCAGGGGGATGGAGGAGTCTGTGCCCACCACCGATGGCAGTGCTGAGAGCCTCTATGTACAAGGTTTGACTTGCGGGGAGAGCCCAGGGTCTCGGGTAGGGTAACAGTGTGCCTGGGGGGAATGGCCTAAGAATCTGAACAAAGCAAGTCACTTCTTCAGTTACTGCCCCACCCCACATTGACCTTGGCCTCCCTGCCATGGTGCGCCCCTGTAGGCTGAGACCGGGAGCTGACCCTCCCTCCTCTCACCTGTTCTCAGGCATGGAGCTCTTTGAGGAGGCCCTACAGAAATGGGAGCAGGCCCTGAGTGTAGGGCAGAGAGGGGATGGAGGCAGCACCCCCACACCAGGGGACAGCTTCCAGAACCTAGACACCTCGTCAGAGGCACCGTCAGAGGTAGGTGGTCTTCCACAGCCACTGTGTGGGGAAGTTGGCGGGGTGGACAGACTGGCTCCCGTGTGACCCCTCCCGCAGTCTCAGTCCATGAAAGCTCCACCTAGAATAGCATGCTAAGTGCTAAGTGGAGCCTGGTGGACAAGTCGCGCATTGATGATGATTAGATGCTTCTCAGCTCTGTTTGGGAGAGGGTGGATATGCTGGTGCAAGACCATAGGAAATGGGGCTCTTGTTAATAGCAGACTGGATTCTGCAGCCTTTGGGTTTTGTTTATGGCTTTTGGGAACACCACTCAAGTTGTTTATTATAATTCTATAATTTATTTATTTGTAAGATTTTATTTTTATTTTTTTAATGCATGTTTCCCTGCATGTATATCTTAGTACCATGTTGGTGCCTAGAGTCCAGAAGAGGGTATTGGATTCCTTGGAACTGGAGTTAGGGTTGTGAGCCACCCAAATGGTGCTGGGAACCAAACCCAGGTCCTCTAGAAGAGCAGTAAGTGCTGTTAACTGCTGAGCCATCTCTCCAGCCCCCACCCCCATTTTTTTCTGGTATTTTTGATATACGGTCTTTCTATGTTGCTCTGGCTATCCTGGAACTCACCCTGTAGACCAGGCTGGCCTCGAACTCACAGAGATCCTCCTGCCTCTGCCTCCTCAGTGCTGGGATTAAAGGCGTGCGCCATTACTTCCAGCATTCTCTCATTCATTCGTTCATTCATGTTTGCATATGTGAATGTGCATGCCCAGGTGCATGTGTGGAGGTCAGAGTCCAGCGCAGGTGCCAGCCCCTGCCTGCTGCCTTGTCTACGGTGGGGGTCTTGTTCACTGTATTCCATGCAGCCTCAGGGGATTCTCCCTGTCTGCTCCTCGGATGCACACACCACATCCAGCTTGACATTAGTTCTGGGGATTCAACACTGGTCCTCATGCTTGTGTGGCCAGTGCTCCATCTACTGCACATGTCCCTCATCGTGTGTAGGCAGTGGGCTAACAGTGTGCAGGCAGATGGAGCAAGACTGGACTGACGGTCACCTGTGGGGTGTTGTGGAGAGAAGGTGAAAGGCTCTCATCTTACGTTGTCAGTGCCCTTCTCTTCTGTTTGTTTAAAAAGACAAAACTCAAAAAAATGTGGAATTAAACTGAGAATCTTGCATGGGCCAACTGCAGAAGGGTTACACCCCCGCCCTGTGTTTGATGGCTTTGAGCACATGTGCTTGGCCTTGTCTTGTGTGGGTGTCCGTACCTTGTGGGCTATTGCTGTTTTATCCTTTACACAGCCCCAGAGCCCCGGGCTCCTGTTCTCTGCCCGAGCAAGGTCAGGTGGGGACCTACAGCATGATTAATAAAAACCCAGTGACAGATAGTAGGGTTGAACCTGAAGACCAGAAAAGCGAAGCAGCTGGCCACTGGCTCTTTCTTCTACCTCAGTCTGAAAATGGCGATCTTGCCCCCAGGAATCTCAGAATGAGACTGTGTCTAAGAGCTGTCTCCTCTATAGGGCTGGGATTAAAGGCGTGCACCACTACCGCCCGATTTCTGTAGCAAACTAGTGTGACTACTAGGATTAAAGGTGTGTGTCAGCACTGCCTGACCAGTGCAGCTCTTTTACTCTCTGATCTTCAGGCAGGCTTTATTTATTAAAATACAAATGAAGTATCTACAGGGAATCTTCTTGGGGAGCAGCAAGATGTCTGGGAACCAGCCAGGAAATGGCAGCAACCTTAGACATTAGAAATTTGGGGGAGCCTGGGTGTGGCAGCTCTCACCCAATGCTGGGGAGGCAATGAGAAGGTCACAGAAAGTTCCAGGCACTTGGGCTACAGAGTGAGTTCCAGGTCAACTTGGGTTTCAGAATGAGACCTGTGTCAAACCAAATAAACCAACCCAGGGGAATTTCATAGAGACTTGGCTGCTCAGATATCTGGGATATCGGGATATCACCGAGCGCAGGCCCCAGGACCACTTGTGAGTCTGGCCAGTAGGGTTGTGTCTCCTCTCTTCCAGCCCTGTGTGTGCACCTCCACAGAATGGGACCAGATCGATTGGGTGCCTGGTAAACAATGTGCAGGGCAAGCGTGGGTGGTGCCTTCAGGGCTGGGCTGGGTGGTGCCTGGCACAGGCAGTTACAGGTAAAGGTGCACTTCTGTTGCCCACGTGGAAAGCTGAGCTCAGAAACCTGTCACTCAGAAGTCATGGAGATAGTGGGGTGTAAAGATGAGAACCCCACATGCCATAGACCTTCACTGCTTGTGTGTGGGCCAGGAGGAACATTGAAGGACGTGGCATTGGTTCCCCACTGTATTTACTATGCTGGTTTTATCTGTGTATACATAGACAGGGCATCTCTGTGTAGTCCTAGCTGGGTTATATCTGTGTGTACATAGACAGGGTATCTCTGTGTAGTCCTAGCTGGGTTATATCTGTGTGTACATAGGGTATCTCTGTGTAGTCCTAGCTGGGTTATATCTGTGTGCACATAGACAGGGTATCTCTGTGTAGTCCTAGCTGGGTTATATCTGTGTGTACATAGACAGGGCATCTCTGTGAGTCCTAGCTGGGTTATATCTGTGTGTACGTAGACAGGGCATCTCTGTGTAGTTCTAGCTGGGTTATATCTGTGTGTACGTAGACAGGGCATCTCTGTGTAGTTCTAGCTGGGTTAGAACTCTTAATGTAGATCAGCCTGGCCTCAGACTCACAGAGGTATATCTACATCTGCCTCCCAAGTACTAGGATTAAAGATGTGAGCCACCATACCCAAATGTGTGTGTGTGTGTGTGTGTGTGTATGTATACTTTTTCATTATTTATTTGTGTATATGTGTGTGCCAGCACACTGTGATGTGCATGGAGAGATCATGTGGGAGTTGCTTCTCCTTCCAATTTGTGGATCCTGGGAATCAAACTTTGGTCATCGAGGCATGGTGACATGTGACACAGAGCCATCTTGCCAGCTGTCTTAGTTAGAGTTTCTTTCTTTTTTTTTTATATATATATTTATTTATTTATTATGTATACAACATTCTATCTGTGTGTATGTCTGCAGGCCAGAAGAGGGCACCAGATCTCATTCCAGATGGTTGTGAGCCACCATGTGGTTGCCGGGAATTGAACTCAGGACCTCTGGAAGAGCAGGCAATGCTCTTAACCACTGAGCCATCTCTCCAGCCCTTAGTTAGGGTTTCTATTGCTGTGAGGAGAAAGGGTTTTCTTGACTTACACTTCCATATTGCTTTTCATCAGTGAAAGAAGTGAGGACAGGAACTCAAACAGGGCAGGAGCCTGGAGGCAGGGGCTGATGCAGGGGCCATGAAGGGTGCTGCTTACTGGCTTGTTCTTCATGGCTTGCTCAGCCTGCTTTCTTATAGAACCCAGGACCACCAGCCCAGGGATGGCCCCACCCACCATGGGATGGGCCCTCCCCCATTGATCACTAATTGAGGAAATTTTGCCGTAAATTTGGATCTTATGGAGGCCTTTCCTCAGCTGAGGCTCCTTCCTCTCTGACTCTAGCTTATGACAGGCCGACTAACAGAACCAGCCGGTACACTAGCCTTTGTTTTTCAGATAGTGCCTGACTGTGGAGCCCCGAGTGGCCTGGAACTGGCTGTGTAGAACAGGCTGACCTCAAACTCACAGAGGCCTGCCATTGCCTCCCAAGTGGTGAGGCTGAAGGTGTGCACTACCACACCCGGTTTGCCAGACCTTAAATTACATTATGTGTGTGTGTGTGTGTGTGTGTGTGTGTGTGTGTGTGTGTGTGTGAGAGAGAGAGAGAGAGAGAGAGAGAGAGAGAGAGAGATATGCATGGATGATGTCCCACAGTGGACTTGTGGAGGTCAGAGGGCAACTTACAGGAATCAGTTCTGTTTTTTCACCTTGTGGAGACCTGAGAGTTGAACTCAGATTGTCAGCCTTGGTAGCAAACTCTTTGACCAGCTGATGTATCTCACTGGCTCACCATCTTCTTCGTTGTTATTTTAGATTTATTTAGTTTACTTAACGTGTGTGAGTATTTTGTCTATGTGTATGTATGTTCAGCACATGTGTGCCTGGTATAAACCAAGGTCAGAAAGGGGTCAGATCCCCTGGAACAGGTTCCAGATGGTGGTGAGCCAGCATGTGGTGCTGGGAACAAATAGAGCCTGGGTCCTCTATAAGAGCAGCCAGAGGTCTCAGCTCCTAAGCCATCATTCCAACCCCGTGTTAACATTTTTGTTTGTTTTGTTATTTGAGATTGGGTTTCTAGCTGTCCTGGAACTTGGTCTGTAGACCAGGCTGGCCTTGAGCCCACAGAGCTCTGCCTGCCCCTGCCTGCTAGGTGAGTGCTAGGATTAGAGGTGTGCACCACCCCCAGCTCCTGTGCTGGCATCTTTAACAGCTGTGTTGGGCAGTGTTCCTGTGTTTTGGGGGGTTGTGTCTATCAGTCTCAGTCTTCTCATAAGTCCCTGCATATGTTAACACTCACCCCCACATTTTCTCGCCTCCTCCCGCAGCCCTGTGCGCTCTGGCCATGACTGGCGTTCCTTTGCTGATGCTGCCTGGCTTTTCCCGTGCTTATCTGTGCATATGTGCTAAAACTTTGATTCCTTTTGTGGTTGTTTTGTGGGGAGGCATGGTACACACGTGGAGGTCAGCAGACAACTTTAGGAGTTGATTCTCCACCTATGTCATGTGGGTCCTGGGGCATGAGCTCAGGATTGTTGGCAAGCACCTTTATCTGCTGAGCCCTGCTGCTAGCCCTCATCTGTGTGTTCCTCTGGAGAAATGTCTGTTCTGGTCCCTGTGTGTGGGATTACGACACATCGGTTGTTTTCAATCTTACGGTGCTGCCATTGAATGTGCATGTCCCTTTGTATATTCTACGGGCACACCTGTTGTTTCTAATCTTTTGATGGTGCTGTTGAGCGTCCCTGGTATGCTCTAGGCTCAGTTCTTTTTTCAGCTCTATGACTTACAGGATCTTCTGTCCTGGGAGTTTTCACCTTTTTGCTATCTTTGAGACATGTCTCTCCACATATCCCTGACTACTGTCCTGGAGCTCACTCTGTAGACCAAATTCACTCTGGCCTCAAACTCCCAGAGATTTCCCTGCCTGTGCCTGAGATTAAAGATGTGTGCCACCTTGCCCATAGAGTTTTCACATTGTTGTTGGCATCCATTGAAACACACGAGACAATTTTAAATTTCTGGATTAGAGGTGAAGCTTAGCTGGTAGAGTGCTTGTTTACCATGCACCAAGCCTGTTGTGGGATATTTGTACCCTTTGTGAAGTTGTATTTGCTGTGGTTGGTGTAATAAAAAGCTGAACAGCCAGTAGCTAGGCAGGAGGTATAGGTGGGATATCCAAGAAGAGAAAGGAAGGGGAGGAGTCAGGGTGCACAAGAGATGCCAGGAGACACGGAAGGAAAGAGGAGGTGCAAGACGGAAGAGGTGACGCCACATGATAGCACTGACTAGTATAAATGGGTAAAATTATAAGAGCTAATTAGGAACAAGCCTAAGCTATAGGCTAAGGTTTCATAATTAATAAAAAGTCTTTGTGTTATTATTTGGGAGCTGGCTGGTGGGACAGAGAAAGACTCGCTACACAAGACCTGGGTTCCATCCCCAGCACCACATAGGCCAGGAATAGGCCAGCAATCCCAGCACTTGGGAAGTGGAGGCAAGAGGATCAGAATTTTTTTTTTTTTTTGGTTTTTCGAGACAGGGTTTCTCTGGTTTTGGAGCCTGTCCTGGAACTAGCTCTTGTAGACCAGGCTGGTCTCGAACTCACAGAGATCCGCCTGCCTCTATCTCCCCGAGTGCTGGGATTAAAGGCGTGCGCCACCACCGCCTGGTGAGAATCAGAAGTTTAAGGTTATATAGTAAGTTTGAACTCAGCCTGGGCTACCTGAGACATTGTCTCAAAACAGAAGCTTTTTTTTTTTTTTAATTCTGAAGTTCACGGTGTCTGCTTTTCTCAAGTCGGTTGAGCTTCTGTGTCGTGTGTGCAGCTTTGACCTACCCACAGTTATTGCCGGAGAGCTGACAGACGTCTTCGGGAGCTGCCAGGCAGGCTCTGCTGGCCATGCTAGGAATCCAGCAGAGTGTGGCCTGTGACCCAGAATCCTGTAGGTCTGGTCCAGGTCTCTCTCCTGCCGTATTTTAGTAAACACCCTGGGACATTTAACCACCTTCAGTCTTCTCTCTGTAGTATCCCTGCTCCAGAGAGATGCTGTGAGGCTAAGCCTCACAGCTCTTCTGGCCCTTGCTCAGGCCTGATTGGCCCTCATCTGTCTCCTCCCTAGGCTCTGGTTACTGTAGCAACAGGCTCTACTCTGGTTGCCTCCACCTCCATGGAGAGAGTAGTTAGGCTAACTCTTGTCTCACCCTGGGACCCAAGCCCAGAAGCCTGAGGGTGAGAGGGAGCAGCACCCCACTACAGAGCTCACAAACTCTGTCCCCACACCAGCTCCTACCCTCCGCCTTAGGCCTAGGCCCTGCTTGTGCCTTCTTGGAAGCATTCTCCTGCCACCTGCATCCTGCCTAGACAGCCAGGCCTTTGCTGCTTAGCTTGCTACCTGCAGGCCATAACGCTCACATGTCCCTTGCTTAGTGACACCTCAGGAACAACTACTACTCTGTGCACCTGTCTCTCGAGTCCCCAGAACCCTCTTCACAAACCAGCCTTTTTTCAGTCCCTTCTGTAGGGAAGGTATTGGAGGAGGCTACCTTGAAGGGCTTGCCCAGGTATATAGGATCTGAACTCTGAGTGTGGGTGGCGGGGGGAAGGGTGGGGCTTCAATCCCGCAACAGTCTTGGGTCACCTAGAGACACTGTGTTCTAGGAAATATGTTCCACCAGCCAACCAACAAGAAAGCAAGAGGGGACGGGGCTGGAGAGATGGCTCAGCGGTTAAGAGCATTGCCTGCTCTTCTGAAGGTCCTGAGTTCAATTCCCAGCAACCACATGGTGGCTCACAACCATCTGTAATGAGGTCTGGTGCCCTCTTCAGGCATTCATGCAGACAGAATATTGTATACATAATAAATAAATAAATATTAAAAAAAAAAAGAAAGCAAGAGGAGCTGAGGGTACGGCTCAGCTGACAGAGCGCTTACCTAGCATGTAGGAAGCCTGAACTTGGTCCCCAGCACCATGTAAAACCAGGTGTTGGGGAACAGAGTCGCCTGCAAGCTCAGTATGTTATCTAACTGAACCACTGAACCATCTCTCAACCCTGGTTGATAAGATTTTCTTTTTTTTTTTCTTTTTCTTTTCTGAGACAGGATCTTGCTGTATAGTCCTGGCTGCCTGGAACTCACTAATGTCCCACATTGGTCTCAAACCTGAAATTTTCCTGGTTTTGCCTGTAGGGTTCTAGGACTACAGGTGTACACCACGATGCCATTCCTGCTGAGATCCTTTGCCCATCTTTCTGGCATCAGGGTGTGTGTGTTTACACCCTGATGGCTAGTGCCTCCTGGAGTGGCAGGCGGCACGATTCTAGAGTTCTTCTGGACTCAGAGCCAGCTCATTTCCTTGGGGCCCTGTCTGAACGGGGAGCTTGGCAGTTGTAGGTTGAAGGTCATTGTTTGTGTCATAGCCAGAGTCGCAACGGAGGGAGTTTGCCGAGAAGCTGGAGTCCCTGTTGCACCGGGCCTATCACCTGCAGGAAGAATTTGGTTCCACCTTCCCCTCTGACAGCATGCTGCTGGATCTCGGTGAGCAGGACCATGCAGGCTGCTGCAGGCCTGAGGTGCCAGGACAGAGGTTGGGGACAAAGCAAGAGAACCAGAGCTTGGTCCCCCAGTGCCACAAACAAATCACAGTTCCCTGGACCTCATAGAACAAATAGGGAAACTGAGGTATCCCTTAAAGTTGGTAGATAGAGGGCTGGAGAGATGGCTCAGTGGTTAAGAGCACTGTCTGCTCTTCCAGAGGTCCTGAGTTCAATTCCCAGCAACCACATGGTGGCTCCAAACCATCTGTAATGAGATCTGGCGCCCTCCTCTGGCGTGTGGGTATACATGGAGGCAGAAAGTTGTATACATAATAAATAAATATATCTTTAAAAAAAAAAGATGGTAGATAGACACTGAAGCAGGACGAGGCTCATGGAGTCCATAGGTGGTGTGCACTGGCCTCTTGGGAGTGCCCTTGGGCTGTGTGACATCTCTGGGCAGGTCTTCAAGCCTCTGCACTCACGTGGTAGTTAGCCCAAGCAGGCCGGGGAGGTAAAGGGTGTGAACCACAGGGAGGGAACCAACTTGCTCAGCCCAGTGTCCAATATCCCCATGTCTGTTATGTGTCTGGCCTTGCCCAGAGAGCCTTGTGGGAACAACTGGGGTCCAGAAAGGGCTAGCCAGTTCTGCACGCCACATCTTCCCTGGCTTCTTGGTATTGACCTCAGTGGCTTTGCCTACTGGAAAAGTCCTGTTCCCATGGATCTTCCTATATAACTGAAGTTGATAGGGCCTTCAAGGTAAGCACCATCAAGTCTGCAACCTCTATTTGAAAGTCCAAACCAGTACTCCAGAGCAAGCAGACTAGGGAATGCTGGGTAATTGCCCTTGGGTGCCCTTAAGGCAGTTTCTGCATTTTAGAAAGGGAAATAATAGATTGGCTGGTGGTGGGGCCAGAGTTTACTAATTCCACAGGGAGGCAGAGACAGGAGGATCTCTGAGTTTGAGACCAGCCTACTACAGGGTGAATTCTAGGACAGCCAGGGATGTGCAGGAAAACCCTGTTTTGAAAAATCAAAGCCAAAAAAAGGAAGCGCTCACTACGCAGGGACAAAGAGCAACAGAATGGGTGTTGAGATGACCCCGTTATCACACAGCTCAGGGCAGCTTTGTGGCCTCTGCCAGCATCTGCCCCAGACGGGTCTGGGTCTGGGGGTCACTGCTGTGGGTGGGCCGGGATTCCTGCAGCAGCATGGGTCTCAGCCCAGTTCTACTCCCTTGCAGAGAGGACCCTCATGCTGCCCCTGACCGAGGGCTCACTGCGTCTACGGGCCGATGACGAGGACAGCCTGACCTCGGAAGACTCCTTTTTCTCAGCCACTGAGGTGATTTCCTGGGGGACTGAGTTGGGTCGGGCCAGGCCTTCTGGGCCAGCACTAGGTTGTGTGGAAGTAAGGTTATTTTCTTGGGTGGGGACCAAGCTCTGCCTCCTAGAGACTCTGAAGTGCCAGGTCAGAGCAAGGGTGCCCCCTGTCCCCAGGACTCTAAACCACACCCAGCTCCAGCGTCTCTATATAGATCAGCATGGTCAGAGCAGGGGTGCCCCCGTCCCCAGGACTCTAAACCACACCCAGCTCCGGCGTCTATATATAGATCAGCATGGTCAGAGCAGGGGTGCCCCCGTCCCCAGGACTCTAAACCACACCCAGCTCCAGCGTCTATATAGATCAGCATGGTCAGAGCAGGGGTGCCCCCGTCCCCAGGACTCTAAATTACACCCGGCTCTAGCATCTCTAATCCATTCAGTCCTTTGGTTAGCATTAGTTTGCTACTAGACTGGGACAAGGGACATGGTGTCTGTGCTTGGGACAGGAAGATGGGAGTGTGTGTCCAGTAGACGGTTCCTTTGGGCAGAGAACTTAGACATAGGAGTGCTGAGATCTAGGGCTGGACACAAACTAGGCCTCCTGTCTCCCGGGGCTAGTGTATCTTTAGCATCTCCATGATGGGCCATAGGCAGGCCCCTTGGGAGGTCACTATTGGTGTAGCCCAGAGCTCTGGCGTCTGTGAGGTGCTGCTCACTGGCCTCCTTGGCCCCTCTCCAGCTCTTTGAGTCCCTGCAGGTCGGAGATTACCCACTCCCTCTCTCCAGGCCTGCTGCTGCCTACGAGGAAGCTCTGCAGCTAGTGAAGGAGGGCAAAGTGCCCTGCCGGACACTCAGGTGAGAGTAAGCGGGGGCTGTGGGTGGGCTCCAGCCCTGGGGAAGAGGCACAGAGGCCCATGGTGCCTGGCAAGGACTCAGCTGAACGAGTGCCTCACATTGCGCATGCCTGGGCCATCCCACTGCAGCAGAGGTCCAGAACAAACCCAGCAGGCCAGCTGTGCTGGTATACATCTTTAATCCCAGCTCTCAGGAGGCAGAGGCAGGTGGATCTTTGAGTTTGAGGCCAGCCTGGTCTACAGAGTGAGTTCCAGGACAGCCAGGGCTGTTATACAGAGAATCCTGTGTTGAAAAACAAAGTAAAAATACCCACAAACCAAGAGCCAAGGAAGTATCTTCATGGTAGAATGCTCACCTCGGCTCACACAGGACCTGAGTTGTGTTCCTGAGACAGTTGGAGAAAGACAGCCATACTTTTAGAAAGAGCTAGGTCTGTGGAGCCTGTGAAGTCCTAGACAAATTCGCAGGCAGGCAGGCGAACAGCAAGCTGGGGCTCAAGGTCGGGTGGCCTAACACACCCTCTCCTGAAAACTTTGAAAATAAAAGTAGTTTGTGACCTTGACAGAAGTCCTCTGGTCTCTTGCCCTCCCTGTCCTGAGCTTACACTGGATCTCTTAATCCTCTCTTTTAGGTAGGGCACTTGACAATCTTGTATATCCCAAGCTGGCCTTGAATTGGAACTACTGTGTAATGGCCTTGAACTCCTGATCCTCCTGCTACTACCCCCAAGTGCTTGGAGGTACCCAGTTTGTTTTGTTTTTTTGAGACAGGGTTTCTCTGTGAAGCTCTGGCTGTCCTGGAACTCGCTCTGTAGCCCAGGCTGGCCTCAGACTCAGAGATCCATCTGCCTCTGCCTCCCTGAGTGCTGGGATTAAAGGTGTGTGCAACCACAACCCAGTAAGAAAATGTTATTATCACATATTAATTATATATAATAGTTTCATTGTGACATTTTAATACATGAACATAATGTGTTTTGATCATATTCAAGCCCTGTCCTCCTCCCCTTCCCACTAATCCTTCTTTCCAACTATCTTTACCTTCTGTTTTTATGTCATCGTGTGTGTGCGTGTGTAAAAGAGCATGAACAGGCCGGGCGATGGTGGCGCACGCCTTTAATCCCAGCACTCGGGAGGCAGAGGTAGGCGGATCTCTGTGAGTTCGAGACCAGCCTGGTCTACAGAGCTAGTTCCAGGACAGGCTCCAAAGCCACAGAGAAACCCTATCTCGAAAAACCAAAAAAAAAAAAAAAAAAAGAGCATGAACAGAAGCGAGGGTGTGTGTGTGTGTGTGTGTGTGTAAGAGAGAGAGCATGAACAGAGCGAGTGAGCTGGTGTGTTTCCTTAGGGCTGCCTCCAGCAGCAAGGAGCGTGGGTGAGGGTTGTTTCAGGAGTATGGACACCTTGTCAGAGGGTGCACTACTCAAGAGAATGCCTCTTTCTCCCATCGGCACTAACCACATAGAAATCGTAATCTTCAGGAGAAGCTGCTGTCCTGTGGTCTTGCACTTTGTTTTCCCATCGTGGCTTGTCATGGTTTAAAAGTCTACTGCCTGAAAATAGCAGAAAGCTGTCGAGGGCTCTAGTGACTGAGAGAGACGCCATTTTGGTACTTTTCCAGGGAGCAGTGATGGCTGATTGTGATCTAAAGGAGGCTAAGGTCAGGCTAGACACCATAGCCATCACTGCTACTGTGCCCAGGGCTAGAGGGGCCGGTGAGGGCCTAGAGAACATCCAGTCAGCCTGTGCCTTTGAGTGGAGCGAGGCTGGATGTAGAGAGGTCATACTGCCAGGCTGAGGCGGGCCAGGTTGGACCCTTGCCCTCTCCTACTCGCCCAGAGTACACCCTACCTCCATTGGACCTTGGCTAGTCAGGACCAGGTGGCATGACACCATCTGTCCCTCTCCTCAGGACAGAGCTGCTGGGCTGCTACAGTGACCAGGACTTCCTGGCCAAGTTGCATTGTGTACGGCAGGCCTTTGAGGTGGGTGTGGTGCGGGGGTCACTGGGGAGGGCGCTGGGCCTGCCCCACACAGGGTCACTCTGCCCTCTCCATGGACTCTGGGAGGCCAACAGCTCACCCACTTCTTTCTTCAGGGGCTTCTGGAAGAAAGGGACAACCAGGTCTTCTTTGGGGAGGTCGGCCGGCAGATGGTGACAGGCCTGATGACCAGAGCTGAGAAGGTAGCCGGGGTGGGACTGTTTCAGATTTTCTTGCCCATGACCTTTCCCTCTGAGACCTTATTTCTGACTGGTGTTTGCTTTGTTTTGCTAACTGTTGATTGGCTCTGTAAAAACAACAAACTGGGACCTATGAGATGGCTCAGTGGGTAAAACTGTGCCCTATAGGACTGGTGACCTGAGGAAGATCCCCAAAACCCATGATGAAAAGGGAGACCAAGTCCCAAAAGCTGTCCTCTGACCTCCTCATGCGGCCTGTGGTATGCGTGTGTCTACACTCCTGTGAACACAGTAATAATTAAGGCAGCAGTTCTGGGAGCTGAGCCGATGGCTCAGTTGTTAAGTGCTGGCCAGGCGAGCATGAGGACCTGAATTCAGAGCCCGTCTGCTAAATGCCACGTGCGGTAGAGTGTGTTGTAATCCTAGTGTTGTGAGCTCCTGCCAGTCAGTCTCATTGAGCCCCTGTGTGGCCCGCACATGCATACAAACATGTTGAAATCAAGTAGAGTCCTGGCATCTTCATATGGCCATGGGGTGCCGGGAAAGGGATGCTGGTCCCTCCCAACCCGGAAACCCTCCCTGCTCCAACTAAGAAGGCTAGAGACTTGAACTCTTTCTTACTTGTGATTCAAACAGTACAGCTTTATAAAACTGACCAGTTATAAAATGTAAACCACAATATGGGGGGTGGGGGGGGGTGGAGCACACCTTGAATCCCAGCACTTGGGAAACAGAGGCAGGCGGAAATTTGTGAGTTTGAGGCCAGCCTGGTCCACAGAGTAAGTTCCAGGACCAGCTCCAAAGCTACAGACAAACCCTGCCTTGAAAAACAAAACAAAACAAAATAATAAAAATAAAAGACCAACCAAAGAAATGCATACTGCAGAAGGTCCCCGCATCTGTCCAAGGTGACCCTTGCTGAAGTCCCAGATCTGCTCCGTGGATGTTCTGACTGCAGGTGCCATTGCCCACCTCCCCAGCTGTGCCCCGCCAGCAGCATGCAGTTTTTACTTAGTGACATCACAGGATATCTCTTCCTGTTCCACTGTAACTTGCTGGTATGGGAATTACTGCCTGCAAAGCCCTCCAGCTTGTGGGCAGGCATCTTGGTGGCATCTGCTGTTGTTCAGGTGTTGATGGCTGCATTCATCCCCACACAGACTCCATGGGCACCTGTGAGACCTCTCTCAGACCCTGGCAGGACTTTCAAAGGCTCTCATTGGTCCCTGTTGGCAGCAGAAGAGTTTGTGTGCTCAGTCTTGGCTGGTACTGGGTTTTTGTAACCTTAACCTTTGCCACTGTGTCCACTGCTCCACGGCTCTTTGCTTAAGGGAGAGATTGCACGGCTCTCCATATTTATCACCCGCGACGGATTGGAACAAGTCTCTTGAGAGAGAGGGTCTTGTGTAACAGGCTGGCTCTGTGGCTGAGGATGACCTTGAACTCCTGATCCTCCTGCATCAGCCTCCCAAGTAGTGCGATCACAAGCATGCACAACCATGCCCAGCTTTTTTTAAATTTTTGTTTTGTGTACATGAGTCTGGGGGCCTGTGCACTGCACCTGTTGCATGTGGAGGACGGCGGACAGCTTGTGGGAATTGGCTCTCTTCTTCTATATATGGGTTCAGGACTGAACTACAGTTGTCAGCACGTGGTAGGTGCCTTTGCCACTGCAGCATCATGCTGGCTCTCTCTTACTCATTCATGCCAATGCTCCTGCCTCAGCGTCCTGGGGCTCTGCTGGAGCGAAGCTGTTATATAGGCTGTCCTCTTAGTCCTCGCTCTCCTGATCTAGACCCTGCGACCACACTTGTCTCCCACCGCTTCAGATGCCCTGGTCCAGCTGCCCTCGGTCATGACCTGAGGCTGACGTGTGCTATGCTGGGCTTACTTGGCCCTGCGCAGCTTTGGGCACTGGGCCTCGGGGGCAGACCAGGACCTCTGCCTGCTTTGGACCTTCCTCTGTGCTGCCCTCTGCATAGCACATCTTCCTTGATTACTTTTTATTTAGACAGTTATGAAGTCCATATAGAAGAGAGTATGGGAAGTGTGTATAATGTATAATGGCAAAGAAAACAAACCCGGAGGGTTCTCAACTCTGGCCTTCTTACCCTGCATCCTACATAGGATGCCCCTTGTCCTTCCCACCATGCAGTGAAGCCCCCAGGGGCCAGGATTGTAAGCCTGGCACGGGTGTGTGTGCAGTTGAACCCCTGACATTGAAGGCCCTGATGGGTGCTGTGTTTACCATAGCCAGGAGACTGTCCCCAGTGCCTGCAATCTGCCCCCAAGTGAGCTCCAGGCTGCTCTTTCATGTCTCTCCAGCAGCCGTTAGCTCTGTCACAGTCTTCGTGTAGCAGATGAGGAAACTGAGGCTGGAAAGGGAGAGGAGGTGTCCCAGGCCACTGAGCAAGTGAAGTGTAGAGCCAAGCTCTGCAGTCACGAATGCCGGGTCCAGCCTATGCCTTAGTTGGCTCTCCTTGGCCTCCCAGGAATAGGAGGGGAAATAGAAAACAAGTGGCCTAGAGCCCGGCCGTTCTGAGCAGGCCTCTGCTGCCTCTGCCCCAGTCAGTCTTCGGCTTGTTTTCCACTAGAAAAGGCCCTGCGCCCCAGCACAGGCGCTCTCAGAGCCCTGTCTGCAGTTTTAGCATCAGGGCCATTTTGTAACCTTGCCGCCTTTGGCCAAGACTTGGGTCTTTCTCTTTCCATTTATAAGTGGATGTGTCCTGTGTCAGCCACCCTCCATGCTAGGCAAGCCTGTGCTACTGAGCCACATGCCCTGGCCCTGCAAGAGTCCGCTCCAGTGCTTAGGGAGTGCTTCTGTGCCAGGGGATGGCCGATGGTCTCCACCCCTGAAAACCACACCTTCTCCCGGGCCCCTCCAAGGACAGGTCATGTAATGGAGCTGTGCCTGGCTCCCAGAAGGCCACAGGTGTTTAGTAATGAGCCAAACAGACATGGCTGGGTGCTCTGGTGTGGATTCTGCCCCAGACACACCCTAGTTGTCGGAAAGTTCAGGCAAAAGACACCTCCTCCTTGGAGTAAGGCCCAGCTCTGCTGGCACATTCTATCCACAGCCCAGCCTGCCTGTGAATCTTACCCTGCTGGGTCTCAGGGCCTCTCCCCCAACCAGAACCGGCTGTGCTTCTCACAGAGTCCCAAAGGTTTCCTGGAGAGCTATGAGGAGATGCTGAGCTACGCCCTGCGGCCTGAGACCTGGGCCACCACCCGGCTGGAGCTGGAGGGCCGAGGGGTGAGTTGGCTCGTGTCGAGCTCCTTGGGTTCTATAGAACTGAGATCCTTTTGGTGGGAGCTTGTGCCCAGCTTTACATGTATGTATGCTGAGCAGCTGAGGTGGCTCATCACTGCACACACAGAGCCTGGCTTCCAGCCATTTCCTCACGTGTGCTGCATAGCCCCCCACAGCAACAGCAGCTCTAGACCGAGCATCCCCTTTTGCAGGTGGCATGCATGAGCTTCTTTGACATTGTGCTGGACTTCATCCTCATGGATGCTTTCGAGGACTTGGAGAACCCCCCATCTTCAGTGCTCGCTGTCCTGCGGAACCGCTGGCTGTCCGACAGCTTCAAGGAAACGGTGGGCCACTGTCCCTTTCCGTATGTGTTCATGGTACATAACTTGGGCACTAGTCTCTTGTCCCTCGAGTTCATTTATCCTCCAACTCCAGGGCCAGTCCCTGTTCACTGAGATCTGGGGTGACAGACTCGGCATTCCAGAGTTTCCTGATGCCCTGGTTCTGGCAGAAGTGCACATTTCCCTTTGCATTGTACTTAATGTGGTTCAGACCTTTACCCTGGGTTGACACTAATTATATTCATTTTAATGCATCACCTTAGTTTAAAATAGAGGTAATCCCCCCCCAACACCTCTACCCCCCCCCCCCAAACAAACAACCAAAAATCAAACTAGCCAGGCAGTGGTGGTGCACACCTTTAATTCCAGCACTTGGGAGGTGGAGGCAGGCATATCTCTGAGGCCAACCTGGATTATAGAGCTATTTCCAGGACAGCCAGGCTATGTAGTGAGACCTTGACTTGAAAAATCAAAACCAAGGGCTGGAGAGATGGCTCAGTGGTTAAGAGCACCGCCTGCTCTTCCAAAGGTCCTGAGTTCAATTCCCAGCAACCACATGGTGGCTCACAACCATCTGTAATGAGATCTGGTGCCCTCTTCTGGCCTGCAGGCAGAGTACTGAGAATACTGTATACATAATAAATAAATAAATCTTTTTAAAAAAAAAATCAAAACCAAGGGCTGGAGAGATGACTCAGAGGTTAAGAGCACTGACTGTTCTTCCAGAAGTCCTGAGTTCAAGTCCCAGCAACCATGTGGTGGCTCACAGCCACCTGTAATAGGATCTGATACCCTCTTCTAGGATGCAGGCACACATGCAGACAGAGCACTCATACATAAAATATAAACAAAGTTTTTAAGAAAAGAAAAAAAAAAAGAAAAAACCCAAGGCTGCCAGTGAGAACTCTAGTAACATTGTGGTGCTGCTGCCCATGACTGATCTCCAAGCAGGCCTTTCATAGATGCTCATGGTGGCTCCCCACAGCCAGCAGGTGAGGTGGGCAGGGTACACATCATGAGCATTTCACAGAGGAGGAAATACCTGGGAAGCATCAGTACCTAACTGGAGTTCTGAAGCAGTAAGCGTTGGAGCCTGGATTCAAAACTAGGTGTATGGGGCTAAAGAGATGGCTCTGTGGGAGGAGTGTTGGCTGCTCTTGAAAAGGACCCAGGTTTGTTTCATGATGCTTACATGGTAACTCACAACCACCTATAACTCCAGTTCTGAGGGATCCAGCATCCCCTGGCCTGGGGACTCTGTAGGCTCCTGGACACACACAGTGCACAAACTCGTGCAGGCACACTCACAGAGTGAAAACTAGGCATGTTGTCAAATTTAGGGTATAAACACACACATATAAAGTGATAAGTCATCTGTTGTCAAACTTAGGGTAAAGGAAAAGCAAGGTCCAGGCATGGATGAGTGTGGGTAAGTTGTGGGAAGGACTCGTCCAGGGCTGTGGGTTAAAGTGCTCTAACTCTAGACTGGGCTCTTACCTGTTCCAGGCCCTGGCCACTGCGTGCTGGTCTGTCCTGAAAGCCAAGAGGAGGCTCCTGATGGTGAGTGATTGGTGAGACCTCTTGGGAGCGCTACTGAGTCCTAAGCGGCCAGGACTCCCCGACTAGAAGGGATAGGTGCAGCAGAGCCCCCCACTCCTCACCAACCACCCATCCTGCCACTGTACCCCGCTTGGCCAGGTGCCCCAGAGGGCATGTGTCTCTCTCTACCTTGTCTCTTCCCTTGGGAGCAGCCATCATATCCCAGGACTGAGCAGAGGAGAAGGACACTGGCGGGGGTGGGGGGGTGCACACGAGTGGCCAGTGCACACAGGAGTCAGGGAGCAGGCAGATGGCATCTGCACCCTGGATGGAGTAGCTGATTGGTCCCCGTGGCTGCCAGGTTCTACTGCCCAGTCAGCACCAATTGCCATGGCTAGTGCTTTCTTTCGGGAGACTTTGCCCATTACAGCCTGCATGGGGAAGCTCTCAGAAATGTCTGCTAGCCCTTTCTGTAGATTTGAAAACCAGGGCTGTACAGGACCCCCCTGCTTACCTAGGGTCAGCTAGCCAGGACCCAGGGCCTTTAAATGATCCTTGATCCCCAACCCTGCCACTCACCATAGGTGCCTGATGGCTTCATCTCCCATTTCTACTCCGTATCGGAGCATGTCAGTCCTGTGCTGGCATTTGGCTTCCTCGGACCCAAACCCCAGCTCGCGGAAGTCTGTGCTTTCTTCAAGGTACGTGACAACAACCCCTGCTTCCCTGTTCCTGATACAGGCACCCTCTCATTGCCAGAAGAGGGGTGGGGCGCTGGGCTGTTCTAGTTGAGGATGTAGGAGCCCCAGGAAGGCAGGGCCTGAGACTGGGTAGGTGGGCTGGGGCTTCGTCACTGAGAAAGGACTTTGTAGGACGTAGAAAATGTCACAGGACCAGGCCCAACACCAGTCTCCTACCTCAGCACCAGATTGTGCAGTACCTGAGGGATATGTTCGACCTGGACAACGTACGCTACACATCGGTGCCGGCCCTAGCAGACGATATCCTGCAGTTATCCCGGCGCCGCAGCGAGATCCTGTTGGGCTACCTGGGGGCGCCAGTGGCTAGTAGCACTGGGCTGAATGGGCCAGTACCTCGAGAGAATGGGCCCCTGGAAGAGCTGCAGTAATGGGGACACAGCCTGAGGGGAGAGGTGGCTGCTTGAGCCTCATTCACAAGGGTGATGGGAGAGAAAAGGCTGCCCTTCCCTTCCTTCGGGTTGGCATCCAAGGGTCAGGGTGGCCAAGGGCCATTGTCCCTGAGCCTGCTATGCCTGCTCATCTGGGAATCCCAACACCTGGAGGACAAATTTCCATGGAGAGGAACCACTAGGAGCCCATCCAGATGCCCTCGGGGTTGCCTGGGCAGCAGGGGCAGCAAGGTGTGACAAGGGGAAGACCTGAGAAGAAGGTGTAGAGATATGGACCACAGAGCCCCAGTCCCCTCTGGGCTGCAGACAGAGGGCAAGGAGGTGTCGGTGAGGGATAAGACATGAGGGCTTTATGGTGACGGTCACAGGGTCCTGGAGTAGGAGCCAGCACCAAGGCTTCTGGTCGGTATGGAAAGCCCCATCTGAGGTGAGCTCGCCCCACCCGTGCTCCCTTCAGAAACCCAGGCACCAACCCAGGACCCTGTCCCACATTCCCATGCCCTGCCAAAGACTCAGTTTTTATCCCACTTCTGCCACCACCAAAGATGGAGAAGGTGGGACTGGGCACATCCCACTCCTGTGAGCCTGGAACTCCCTGGGCAGTGCTAGGCTCCAGCTGAGGGCTCTAAGCAGAGCTCACAAAGGCTTACCATCTGCTGCTCTAGAAGTGAGGGCCTGGGAACCATGGCAGGGAGGGCAGGGTCAGACCCCCCTCCCCAACAAGAAGCGGACTCAGCATTTTGCCTTTAACTCCATGCACACGGACTTTGGGGCTGCCCAGCAGCATAGCGCCCACCTCAGGGCTGCTGCCACCCAGGGCCCTGCAGACAGCTCTGCAAGCATTGTCATGGCAGCTGCAGGGGTTCTGGGAGCCCTCTCCTTTATCCCGAGCTGGGAAGTTTTTATTTATTGCCTTAACACTTTATTTGGGTGTTCTGCTCCTTTCAGGTTGTGAGACCTACAGGAGATGAGACTCCTGTCTGGTCTGGGGTTGTGCATGGGCTCCTGGGACCCAGTCCCTCCCAGGGTCGGGAGGACATAGTGAGGAGAGGGTGGAAGGGTGACCGAGGCCCTGTGCTCAGGAGCAGCCCTCCCTCCGCACTCAGTCTGACATTCCTTTCATTTGCACTTACTGAGCTGTGAGTGAGCCCTGGCACAGGCCCACCCTTATTGCCCCTGAACCTCACAGCGGTGGCATTTTCATCTGTCCTTGTTCACGTGTCCCGTACTGCCCTCTAGCACTCGATCTGTCAACTTCTAAACCCCATGAAGAGCGTGTGCAATGACTGTGCATCAGATAAACGACGGAAACAGGCCTCTCCTGTGTCTTCCTGGGTGTAGGGCCGGGCTGGGGTGGAGCAGTGACTGGAGAGCTGCCCTTCGGTGCGGTGATTGTGATGTGGGCTGTGAACACTCTTGCAGCCATGTGACAGCATGACAGGGTCTCTGGGTCCCTAAGATGGCAAGGTACAGATGTGAGGTAGGTGGCCTGCACTTCTGCATTGCACCCAGCCAGGGGTTGAGGTGGCCCAGGTGACCACAGCCCATCACATCTTCACATGTCTTCATGGGCATCTGTCTGAGGGTGACTGTAGCTGTGAGGAAGCACCATGACCAAAAGCAGTGAGGGCGGGAACCTGGAGGCAGGAGCTGATGCAGGGGCCATTGGTGGATACTCTAGATGTTCCTTACCGGCTTGCTCAGCCTGCCTTTGTATGGAACCAAGAACTACCAGCCGGGGGATGGTCCCACCAACAATGGGCTGGGCCCTTTAAGCCCATCAATCACTAAGAAAATGCCCTAATGGCTCACCTACAGCCCCGTCTTATGGAGGCGTTTTCTCAGTTGAGCTCCCTCCTCTCTGATGACTCCAGCTTGTGTCAAGTTGACAAAACCTGCCAATAGGTGATGATCACTCATGCTTTTAATCCTAGCACTCAGGCAGACGCAGGAGGATCTCTATGGGTGTGAGGCCAGCCTGGTCTACACAGTAAGTTCAGGCCAGCCAGGGCTGGGGACTGGGCGTGGACTAGATGTCTCAAGCAGGTCAAGTGCTAGCTGTGGGCATTGAGTCCACAGAAAAGGCAGGCACCGTGGCAACAAAATCGTAACGGGGGTAGAGACGGGAGGATCCTTAGGGCCTTGAAGACTAGCCAGTTTAGCTGAATCACAAATCTGGGTTCGGTGAGCAATCCTGCATTAAAACAAGTCAAGATTGATGATAAAGGAAGACATTCGGTATTGACCTTTGACCTCATCTGTACAACATATGCACATACACACAGGGAACTTAGGGTCTCTGTAGCCAGAATTCTTTCCTTCCCTTCCTTCCTTCCTTCCTTCCTTCCTTCCTTCCTTCCTTCCTTTTTTTGAGACAGGATCTATGTAGCCCTGAATGTTCTAGTCTTTGCTTTGTAGACCAGGTTGATCTTGAACTCAGGGAGATCTGCTTGGCTCTGCATCTGAAGGGGTGTGTGTGGCAGAGCACCTGGCCAGCATTCACAGAACCCTGAATTCAATCCCCAGCACTGCACCAGCGTATTGTTCAAAACCAACAAAGTACTCTGCAAAACCAACACCTTTAGTTGGCATGAACATTCTTCCACATTTGCTTTCTGTTTCCTCTCCGGGGTACATAGAGCAAGCTTCAGGCATGAATTTCTTTGATAAGCACTTCAGCCAGCAGATCTTTAAGGCAGTGTTCCGGTAAGAGTGTTAGCGTCACAGTTGTCCCTAAAGCCCAGCAATTCTGTTGTGCCCGCGCTGGAGCCCTGGCATGGCTTGACTCTAACCTTATTTGAAAATGATGTGGGTCTGGGTCGCACAGTTTGCAATCCTGGGGAAAGGAGAGAGATTTGTCTTGGAGATCAGAAGGACAAAACCATCTCTGGCTACACAGAGTTCAAGGCCAGCCCGAGCTTCAAGAGACCCTGTCTCAAAAAGGGACAGGTGAAGTGTGCACACACTTAGAATCCTAGCACTCAGCTAGAGATGAGGACAATCAGGAGTCCAAGGCCCCCCCTGGGCTACAGAATTGCAGGCTCGTCTGGCTCTACATGAGACCCTCTCTCGAAAGGGAGAAGCAGAACAGGGCAGGGGATGTGGCTCAGCTGGTGGAGTCGAACACGTAGAAAGCCTGGGTTCAGTCTTGGTAGAGCCCCCTAAGCTGGGTATGGTGGCACACATCTGTGGGGTCGGCTGTGGAGATGGGAACAGGAGGTTGTCCTCCAGCTGGGATGCCCGAAAAGTCGTCTCAAACAAATAATGGAAGGGTCCATGCTTGCGCCCCCTCCAGGCCCTCTAGAGTGTAAGCTGTGACATGTCGCTCCAGTGCTGGCAAGTAAGTGGGTTTTAAACAAGGCCAGTGGTTTAAGCAGTCTTGTTGGGGTGTACTTGGTCCCCCATAAATGCATTTCCTTGAGGGTTTCAGTAAGGATTACCCACTCCCGTGATATACTTCAAAACATTTCTGTCACTGTCGTGTGCTCTCCGGGCTGCCCCCAGCTCTCTCCACTCCTTGCTTTTTCTGGACCGTTCCTGAGAATTGGACCTTGTCATAGGTGGTCTTTTAGTTGGTGCTTCCTCTGGTAGAATAATGTTCTTGACAGTAATTCATTGTTTTTAAAAAAATATTTATTTATTATGTATACATTGTTCTGTCTGTGTGTATGTCTGCAGGCCAGAAGAGGGCACCAGACCTTATTACAGATGGTTGTGAGCCACCATGTGGTTGCTGGGAATTGAACTCAGGACCTTTGGAAGAGCAGGCAATGCTCTTAACCACTGAGCCATCTCTCCAGCCCCCATAATTCATTTTTTTTTGTTTGTTTTTCGAGACAGGGTTTCTCTGTGGCTTTAGAGCCTGTCCTGGAACTCGCTCTGTAGACCAGGCTGGTCTCGAACTCACAGAGATCCGCCTGCCTCTGCCTCCCGAGTGCTGAGATTAAAAGCGTGTGCCACCATCGCCCGGCGAGTAATTCATTTTGTACTGGGGATCCAGACCTCATGTATGCTGAGCAGGTACTGTGCCAGTGGAGCTACGCCCACTTCCCTGGTTTGTTGTTTGCTAGATTTATTTTAAAGTGCATGTGTGCGTGCATGCACACACTTCTAATGCTATGGTGAAGCACCATGACCAAAGCAACTTGGGGAGGAAAAGGTTTATTTGGCTAACACTTCCACATCATAGTTCATCAGTGAAGGAAGTCAGGGCAGGAACCTGAAGGCGGGAGCTGGTGCAGAGGCCATGGAGGGTGCTGCTTACTGGCTTGTTCCTCATGGCTTGCTTAACCTGCTTTCTTATAGAACCCAAGTTTACCAGCCTAGGGATGGCACCAGGCACAATGAGCTGGGCCCTCCCACATTGATCATTAATTAAAAAGATGTCCAACAGGTTTGCCTACAACCCTATCTTATGGAGGCCTTTTTGGGGGTTGTGTAGTTCCGTTTTTTGAGACAGTTTCTTTGTAACCGATCTGGCAGTCCTGGAACTTGTTCTGTAGAGCAGGCTGGCCTCAGACTCACAGAGATCCACCTATCTCTGCCTCCTAAGTGCTGGGATTAAAGGTGTGTGCCACCACGGTCCAGGCTGGAGGCATTTTCTTAATCAAAGTTCCCCCTCTCAGATGACTTTAGCTTTTGTCAAGTTGACATAAAACTATCCAGCAAAGTGTGTGTGTGTGTGTGTGTGTGTGTGTGTGTGTGTGCATGTGCTTACTCACGCACAAGTTCAGGTGCCCACAGATGAAAGAAGAGTCAGATGCCCCTAGAGCTGGAGTTACAGACTGTGTGACCGGCTTGATGTGGGAATAAACTCTGAAAAGACCAGTACACACCCTTAACCATGGGCCATCTCTCCAGGCCCTGGTTTGGTTTTCTGAGGCAGGGTCTTGCTCTGTGCTGACTTTGAAATCCATCTTCTTGTCCCCTGTGCACCAACGACACCCAGCTGGTGTCTTTAACTTCACAATCTTGAGGCTCCACAGCCTCCATGGAATTCAGTTCCTTTGAGGGCCAGGGCAGCACCCAAGCTGACTGCATTTTTTATTTATACTGGGGAGTGGCTCATGTCCTGTCACTGTTAGGGGCTCAAGCATTTCCAAAAATAAATGACCTCCAATCCTGAGGGCAGCTAGCTCTCAGCTGGCTTTGTACATTCTAATTTCAATGTCACCACCCTGCTACTGCCTCCAGAGGATGAGCTAGAGATGACAGCTTCCGTCCTGAGACCTGTGGCTACAGGGATGTAGCTAGAGATGACAGCTCCCATCCTGAGACCTGTGGCTACAGGGATGCCTGGCTCTTGGCCTTGGAAAGGGCTCTGGAGCAGGCAGGCAGCATTTTGGTTCTAAAAAGGCAGGGTGGTCTTGAACCTGTCAGGCAGCCCTGGGCACCAGTCCCCACTCTGCTCTGTTGCAGGATATTTGATCACACTGTGAACCTCAAAATTGTGTTGTTTACTGGGAAAACCTGTTTCTAGTTGTGTGGCTCAGCCCTAGGACACACCTTTAATCCAAGAGCTCTGTGTTTGAATATTGTAAACAGGATTAAATAAAGTCAACCACAAGTCTAGAGGCGGAGCAAGCAGAGGGAGTAGAGGAAGTCAGGAGGACGGCTAGAGATATTCAGTTTGAGGAATTTTGCTTGAGATGGTGTAGGAGAAAGGCCCTTTTTCTGGGATGTCCATGGAAGAGGAAGGTCAGCTGGGTGCTTTCTCTGCCTCTCTGAGCCAGCAGGATTTCACCCTAGCCACTGGCTCCCAAGTCCTTATTGGTAAAATTGAAGGTTTGAGATTTTGTATAAAAACAACACTGCTACGTAGTGGCCCCGTGCCTGTGGCAGACGGCTGGAGGATGCACTGAATCTTTCTGCTTCCATCCCTAAACTGGACACATGAAGATCTGCCTGGCAAGCCAAGCACGGTGGAGCATGCCTATAATCCCAGCACTGTGGAGGAGGCTCAGTACTTCAAAGCCACCCTGGTGAGTTCAGTGAGTTCAAGACCAGCCCGGACTACATGAGACCCAGTCAACAAACAGAAACAACTGGAGGGATGGTTCAGTAGTTGAGGTGCTTTCCCAGAGGACCTGGGTTTGATTCCCAGTATCCACTGGCAACTCACAAGGATCTGTGACCACAGTTCCAGGGAAAATCTGATGCCCTCTTCTGGTCTCCACAGGCATTGCATGCACATAATATATAGACACACACAGTATATAGACACACACCATACATATAAAATAAGAATGAGCAAAATAAGGGGGCTGCTGCTGTGACTGGAATAAGGGACTAAGAAGGAGCATCTTTTTTTTCTTTCTAAATTTACTTATCATGTATACAGTGTTCTGAGTGCATGAATGCCTGCACACCAGAAGAGGGCGCTAGATCTCATTATAGATGGCTGTGAGTCACCATGTGGTTGTTGGGAACTGAACTCAGGACCTCTGGAAGAGCAGCCAGTGTTCTTAACCATTGAGCCATCTCTCCAGTCCAGGAGAAGCATCTTATGGGTGAATCAGAAGGACTTCAGATGCCATTGGTCTAACTCTCCTCTCAGAGGGAGAAGTGGGAGGCAGAGCCCCTCATCTATAGCGGGTCTAACATTGTCACCTCTGCCATGTCAGGGGACCCTGCAGTGTCTCAGCAACACACTCAGGCACACCAAAGATACCAATGGGTTTACCGACCTCTCTAGACCCATATGGGAACTTTAGCTCAGCCCACACTTGAGATGGCTGCCCTGGTCCCACACGTCTTCCAGGAGTCAAATGGGAAGTAAACTAGTAGTTCACACCGGAGACAGCACACAGCAAGGCCAGGTGATAGCATGAACAACTCCTAGGCAGTGCCCAGTGGGAGAAGCCAAACGTGCAAAGCATGGTTTTGCTCACAGTAGGTGCAAACCAAGCATGCCATGTGTAGCATTAAATGCCACCCAGAGTGACTGCACAGGCCACCCCTCTCTGGGAAACCCTTTTTTTTTTTTTTTTGAGACATGGTTTGGTTTCTCCATGTAGCCTTGGCTGTCCCGGAATTTGCTTTGTAGAGCAGGCTAGCCTTGAACTCACAGAGATCCCAGAGATCCACCTACCTCTGTCCCCCAAGTGCTGGGATTAAAGGTGTGCACCACCACTGCCAAACTATCTGGGGGACTCTTACACAATTATGTTTAGCTTCTGAAACACAATGACCTATATCCATCTGGTTTCTGGAACTTGCTGTAAGAATGTCATATATGCTCATATATATGGCTGATTTTGCACTCCGACTCCTCCTGCCTTAGCTTTCCAGGTGAAGAGATTATGAGTGTATACCACCAGGACTAGCATCAAAGTCACATTCACACACAAGTTGGCTTTCAGTTTGTATTTTTTCCTTCTATTTTTGAGGCGGATTCTCATGCATCCCAAGACCTCACTATGTGGCCTGAGAATGACCTTGAACTCCCAGTCCTCCTGGGGTTACAGGATGCTCCATCTGACCCATCCTTTCTTTTCTGAGACAAAGTCTCATTCTGTAGATCAAGTCTTTGGACCTTTCTATGCAGCATGGCCTGGAATTCCATCCTCCTTCCTCTGCCTCTCAGGCACTATACTTTTAGGACAAGCCAACCAGTTAAACACTTTCATAAAGAATTAGCAAAAGTGGGGGCTGGAAAGATGGCTCAGAGGGTAAGAGCACTGGCTGTTCTTCCAGAGGTCCTGAGTTCCCAGTAACCACATGGTGGCTCACAAACATCTCTAGTGGGATCTGGTGCCCTGTTCTGGTGTGCAGGAATACACTGTATACATAATATATAAATAAATCATTTAAAAAATTAGCAAAAGCCAGGAGATGGTGGCGCACGCCTTTAATCCCAGCACTTGGGAGGCAGAGGCAGGCGGATCTCTGTGAGTTCGAGACCAGCCTGGTCTACAGAGCTAGTTCCAGGACAGGCTCCAAAGCCACAGAGAAACCCTGTCTCGAAAAAACAAAAAAAAAATTAGTAAAAGCAGGCTGGGTGTAGTGGCACACACCTTTAGCTTCAACACTTGTGAGGCAGAGGCAGGCAGGTCTCCGAGTTCAAGATCAGCCTACATATCATCTACATAATGAGTTCGAGTTCCAGGCCAGCCAAGATTACATAGTAAGACCCTGCCTTTAAAAAAGGAAGGAAGGAAGGAAGGAAGGAAGAAAAAAAAGCAAAGCAACTTATCTAGAGTTCCCTATCTTCAGCACCTTGCCGGCCCTCAGCGCCTCAGTGGTCCAGCTCACCTCCCCCAGCATCCTGGTTCCTCTGCACAGCCAGGCTGGGCCACAAGACAGTGATATGTGCTCTCTTCTGCCGGAAACTCACCCCATAACTCCCACACTTCTTCAGCTCCTCACTCGTCACTTCCTCAGGACCGCTCTCCCTGTGTGTCAGGGACTTTGCCTCTGTGGGCCTGTGGAGGAGGGGCTAGGCAGCCTGACCGCCCACAGCGCCCTGTCTCAGAGAACTATTCTAGGAAGCCCACAGCCATTCTTCACACCTTTCTCTCAGAGGCTAAAAATGGCAGCACCTAAGAGCGCTGAGGGCAGGTGACAAAGAGGTGAGGCCAGCTGACCCAGACAAGTTCAGGCTGGGCTGTGGAGGTGGAGGGGAAGCTGAAACAGCTGGGGGCAGGGGTTTCCTGATCTCCCCAGCCTACTCAGACTAACCTCGGGCCTGGCTTCTGCAGTCTGCCAAACTACACCACTCTAGCGAATGACCGCTTTGCTGTATTCCGACTCCACCTCCCAAGTACCATCTTATTCATTAAATATGTTTTCTAGGTCATCTATCAGGTACTCGTACTTTGACATTTATCAAATACGCGACAAGTCTGTGTGGGTTGGGCCAGGTTTTGGATGTAAGTTGCCTATTTTTTTTTCAGGTGGAGTTACAATCACTTGTATCAGATCTACTGGGTTGACCCAGGCCCCAGACAGATCCAGGGACCTGCCTTTTTATTGTACCTGCTGCGATGCTCAGGTCAGGGAACCATTGTCTTCTGGCAGAGACAGACAAGGAAATAGTTACTGTGTCTTGTAATGCAGCAGAGACGAGGCAGGCAAAGCGGGTTCAACTGTAGGAGAGCACTGGAGACCCCCTCTGGTTTTTTGTTTGTTTGTTTTTTGAGGCAGCCCGCAGTGGTCTCGAATTCACAGAGATCTTCTGGCTTCTCTTAACCTTGGGAACCTGTAAGTATGAACTGACAAACCAGACTGAGCCAGGAAATGGGGCAGGAGTGTGTGTGCCCACCCCAAGCAGAGGAACGGCATAGGTAAAGGCTTGGAGACAGAATAACTGGCCTAGACTGTGGGTGGGAGGTGTGGCTGCTTCCTCAAGAATGTTTTGGAAAAACAGAGACGGGTACATGGAACATCTGGACTTACTAAAAATATTCCCAAGTGGCCTTACTTACTACATAGCGTAATTGATGGAACCAGTAGCATTCCATCTAAGACGCCTCGTATGTGCTCCGTCCCAGGAGTTAACAAAAAGGCTCCTTTGCAGACCTGTACCTCCTGTATGTCAGTTAAAGGCAGAAAAATTTCGCTCTAGGTCTTTTGCCTCAATTTACGTTTATGGGCTGGAACAGTGAGGCAAAACAATGCTAAGAGAAGTCTGGGCTTCACAGTGACACACTCACTTTTGTTTTCAAAATGGGTCGGTTCAGACCCGGTGGTGCTGAGGCTCCCTTTCCACCGGGATCAGGGTTGCGCGAAGCCTTTACTCTGGGAGCAGGTGCCAGCAGAACCAAAGCTCCCACCAAAGCACAACACGCCCCCCGAGATAACGCCTGATTGGCTAGTCCTGTGCACACTCCGACCCAGGCTTACCTTTTGATTGGCTGTTCTGCACTCTGTCCTGCGATGGAGCCCTCCGTTCTCCTGATTGGCTAGATAACTACCTGCGCTCGCCCAGGATTGGACACTGGCAAAGCTGCGAGGGTCCCCGCTCTCTGATTCGCCGCGCGGCCCAGCCTCACGGCCTGCACCCTGAATGGCTGCGCCACTACCTGCAATCGGCCTCGGATTGGGTGCGTGGCGCCTCCCCGGCGTGATAGGTCAGGACCACCGCCCCCCTTGCTCCCCATTGGTTGCTCGGCCAAGCCCGGTCTCCGGGTAAGATGGCAGCGGACGGACAGTGCTCGCTCCCCGCTTCATGGCTGCCGGTGACCCTCACCCACGTCGAATACCCTGCAGGTAAGAAGCGGCCCCGGGCCGGAGGACGATCTCCGGGAGCCGGCACCCCAGCCCGGGGCGCTCTGGGCGGCGTGGGCCGGCCTGGGGGCGCAGGAGGACCGCGATGGGAACTGTCAAACAGCGAGCCATGGAGGGGCTCGGCCGGCGCGCGCGCCGCGCAGGCGCAGTGAAACGGCGATGAGCTGGGCGAAATTGTGAGCGCCTGGCTTGTGCACTCTGCGGCTGCGCGGCCAAGTCGCTCTCCGGGGTCCCGGGGTGCTAGTGGACTGTCCTGGGCCAGAGGTCTCTGGGTGGGGCGGGCAAGGATCTGGTCCTAGACCTTGTCCCTTGTGCCCCGCCCTCTCCTGAGCCAGAGAGGCCGCACTCCTGCTCGGGCGTGCAGGGAGTTGCCAGTTTCCTTCACGGTGCTGAGGGCTGCTTGCTGGAGAAAGCTCGCTGCTTCAGGGAGCCTACAAAAGTAGGCCAGGTTTGGGAGGGTTTTTGGCTCCACGCCCTGAGCAGCGGGGCAGAGGCTAGCTACCCAGGGGCCACAGAGCCCCCGGAGCTTGACTTGTCTGAGCTTCCATCCGACACGCCTCTGGGAGTGCCCGCCTCTCTGGTGGGAAGGTCCATTAGCCACGGTTCTGAAGTTCCGGCTCCGTAGAGAGTGGTACGGAGCTTAGGCCTTGGCTGAGACGTTTCCCTCGGTGCGGGGGCGGAGGCGCCACCACTCCCGTCACCTCATCTTCTAAGTGGCTCAAGAACAGTGTCTCCTTTCTGTAATGCCGTGTGCCTCAATGAACACAGACCTAAGAGGTGCTGGCACAGGGCCTAGCCTGTTCGCTGTGGCGAGCACTCAGTAAATTACCTGTAGTTGCTATCTAGCACCCTCCCTGGGTAGATGTTGGTTGCTGAGCAGCTGAGGGCCCCTTGCTGACCTCTGACTCGGGGAAGGGAGAGCACAGGGCCACAGGCAGGGAGAACTTTGCCTCTGGGTGTGCTGGCTATACTTAAGGTGTGGCAGTTCCACCCAGGGTCAGGCCTGTTCACCATCCATCCATCCACTCATTCATTCATTCTGCATCGCCTCGCATCTCCCAAGGGCTAGGCCTTGAGCCGGCTCTGGGTTTGGAATGGCGAAGGCCTTGCACTCTTGCTCTGTGGAAAGTCTCTGCTCCAGAGAAGGGAAACCAGGCCTGGAGAAGGGGAGAGACTTGGTTGAGGCCTCCACACCTTCCTGACTTTCCCTCCCTGGCTTCAGAGTAGCTTCTTGGAGGGCTCGAGACCTTACAGATGAGAAGGCAGCTGCCACTGAGAACACCATGACATGTGCAGGCCTTGTGTGATGCCCGTGGTTGAGCCTGGCGCATCTGGTGAAGTCCAGCCCTCTGCACCCCCGGGAACCCCTGCTCTACATGCACCCCTCTATATACTGAACACACTCCCTTTACCTGTTTAACGTGGTGTCTGATCCCTGTGGGGTGTCATACATTGCTCCACTCAGAGGATAGTGGGGTGCAGAGACATGGTCACTACCTAATGAGACCTGAAGTGTAAGCGTGCAGAGAGAGGCACCCATCCCCAGCTACCTATCTAACTAGTGGCTCGTGAGCCTTGGCCCAGACGCAGGCCTGTCTCAGGCTGAGGGCTTTATGGGGTCTGGGGCTGTGCTGGGTCTTTGCTTGGTTTGTTGAGTTCCCCTAGGCCGCAGCCCATGTGGAGGAGCCCACGTGTGCTTGGGTGCAGAAGTAGGACAGCACAGTGTGCTCGGGGACCTGGAGTTCCGTCCTGCAACTGGAGCAGAGGCTGGGGGGAAGTGGGCCAGGACTGTGCAGAGCCCGGTAGGTGGGGCCTAAGAAAACGCTTCCCGAGGACAGGGGAAGGGAGGCCAGGGTCCCTAGCAGTGGGTACAGGGAGCCTGAAGGTCTTGCTTGCTGTAAGGCAACCTGAAGATTTGGTCAGAGGTTCAGGGGCCCTTGCCATGCCCTGTTCTCATGGCCCAGCCATTACCATTTGAGTTGTGAGTGTCAGAACCTCAGGCCTGGGGAGACATGGGCTCAGAGAAGGGTGGGCACTCACTCAGTATTCCCTAGTGGGACCATGGCAACATGAGCCTTTGAACTTGGGTTACTGGCCAACTTAAGTCAGGTAAGAAATATGTGCATCTATCTCTTAAGGCCTGGAATCTTCTCTCTGCCCTCTGTGGGAACCTGCCTGCTTGTATAAGGCCAGGCTGCTGCTATGTGCCATTTCCCATACTGGGTACCCCCAGCCTCTGTGAGCCCCACTGTGGGAGTACCCTGTGTGACAGAGACCATGCTAGGCATTTTTACACCGCTTCTTCTCAGCTGTGGGGAAGATGCCCCCCCCCCCCACACACACACAGGAGAGACTGTGGTGGTCTAGGGAGGTAAAGTCCTTACCTGAGTTCCTGCAAGCAGCTCAGGCTGCTACAGGAAATGAACGATGGTTCCTTAGTCAGCCACTTGGTCTCCATGGTGAGTGGCCTTTGAAGCCTTGCCTGTGAGCAAGGGACCATGACTGTACTCTTAGCATCAGCCTCTGACCCTCAGAGAGGCCAGTGGTCCTCACCTGGTCCATCCAGTCTTTAGCAGGAGTGGAAAAACCAATGTCTTACTGCGGCAAGGCTCTGAGAATCTGTTGACTTTGTGGGTGGCCACTTTGAGCTGGCTCCACTGGAGGCTCCTGAGTGCCTCTCTCTGTATCTGGTGTCTGGAAGAGCACAGACTTCTCCAGAAGACCCAGCCCCACCTGCAGCCCAGAAATGTGCAGCATGTTGGACCTTGGGGTTCAGACTCCCCCTCTGACAGAGTGATGTGTATGGTCTCTAGACCAGGCCAGAGACTAGGGTTCATCCAGGTTCCACCTCTCTCAGGTTATGCTGCTTGAGCAAGGCACATAGCCATGTTGAGACTTAGTTCTTTCTGTAAGATGGGGGCAAAGAGGCATCTTTCCTGGTTGGTGATGCACCCCTTCCATCAACCAGGGTCCATGGCTGTGGCTCTGCACTCTGGGACCGCCTCTTTTGTTAGGCCCTGCTGACTTTCAGAGAACTGACCCCTCTTCTGATACCCATGCCCTGTCTCATCCTGTTCCTCTGTCCCTACAGGTGATCTCTTTGGCCACATCCTTGCCTACCTGAGCCTCAGCCCTATCTTTGTTATTGTTGGTTTTTTGACCCTCATCATATTCAAGCGGGAGCTACACACGGTGAGTTCCGGCCCCACCCTCTTTCAGTCTTTTTGCCCAGAACCCTCTTTTGGTCTGCAAGGTTATAGGGTCTCCTAGTTGTTTACTCATGGTTTGAGCTGTCCAATCAGAGGCCATGATCATGGGAATTGGGTGGCAGCCAGAAGGTATGCAGAGGCCCAACTGAGTGCCCATTTTTCCCAGCAGATTTCATTCCTCGGGGGCCTGGGACTCAATGAAGGTGTCAACTGGCTGATCAAACACGTCATCCAGGAGCCTCGGCCCTGTGGAGGTAGGGCTGGGAGTTCAAGGACCCAGGGCTTCATGTTGGACATTATGAGGAAGCCCATGTCCTCCCATAAAGCCCTGTTCTTTTCTTCTCCCCCAGGCCCACACACGGCAGTGGGCACTAAGTACGGGATGCCCTCCAGCCACTCCCAGTTTATGTGGTTCTTCTCTGTTTATTCCTTCCTGTTCCTGTATTTAAGGTGAGCTTCTTGCCCCACTCCCACCCCTGCCCGGGGGCTGTTGGGAGGCCCTTGTTCAGGCTGTGGGCTGAGACTATCTGATGTACCTCTTTTTCCAGAATGCATCAGACAAATAACGCCAGGTTCTTGGACTTGCTGTGGAGGCACCTGCTCTCCCTGGGGCTCCTCACTGCAGCCTTTCTCGTCTCTTATAGCAGGTATGAAGGGAGGAGCCCCATCCTGCAGCCTGCCCACTGGGGTCCTGCTAGGATCTTGGTCTCTTTTGAATAGTCTCTGTGGCCCCTGGGCCCAGAGGCTCCAGCTGCCCTGTCTAACAGCAGGGTAAGTTGCAACAGCAGCTTCTTGTATTAGCCATTTGTCCCCAGCTTCCTGGTGGGGCGGGGGTAGGAGGGGTGCACCCTTGAAGACAGGCTCCAGTTTAAGGACTGGCCAGGAAGGAGGCAGGTCTGGAGATGCATGGGCTGCTCCTGCATCTCTGTCGCAATTCTGAAAGTGCCTCTTCCATTTGAGTCTTCACATCTGCACACCCAGGGGCCGAGGGCAAGGCTATTGTGCAAGCCCATCCCTGGTTGGTTCTCATGAATTTCCCTTCTGGCCTTATCACAGGGTCTACCTGCTGTACCACACCTGGAGCCAGGTACTCTATGGGGGTATTGCTGGAAGCCTCATGGCCATCGCTTGGTTCATCTTCACCCAAGAAGTCCTCACCCCACTGTTCCCCAGGATAGCAGCCTGGTAACCAATTCCCCATCCCTTCCCAGCACCTTGTCCCTGCCCCTCCTGCAGGTGTGACCATCTTTGGAAAGCCTGGTGTCCGGGATGGCCCAGTGCCTGGACCTCTGGTGGCATGAGGCTGTAACACCCACTCTCCTGCTGTCGCCTCCCCCAGGGGCTTCTGGGCCTCTCAGGCTTAGCAGCCAGAGTGCCATCATCTGTCCTTGCTTCTGCACTTAGAGACTCAGGAGGCAGCAAGAGTCTCATGGAGCAGTGGAGGAGGCTGGAGGGCTCCAGGAACTGTTGGGATATCTGGCTTGGTGGTAGGCTCATGCCCTCACCATGGCCCTGGCTTTTGGGTATCTGTCTCTCCAGGCCCATCTCCGAGTTTTTACTCATCCGGGACACGAGCCTCATTCCCAATGTGCTCTGGTTTGAGTACACAGTAACCAGGGCAGAAGCCAGGTGAGTTCAGGGGACAGCAGTCACTCCACACTGTCCTCCATTTGGAAGGTTCCTCCAAAGCTAGATACTTGCTTCCATTCTGACCCAGAATTCCTCTATGCACCAGTTTTTTCAAATGGAAAAAGTGAGGCCCAGAGAGGAGGGAGCCACTTGCCTGGGCTCTGTCTGTGAGTGGGTGGGGAGCTGGTTACACTGGCCCAATGTGAGCGTTCATCCTCCCCAGCACAGACACAGAGCTGGGCCTCGGGTTTTCAGGGCACAATGAGTGTGGCTGTCCTAGAACTCTTCAGCTCTGTTAGCTGGTAGGCTCGGGTACACTGGGCCATCTCGAAGCTGAGCACAAGTCAGGGCAAAGCTGGACTTCGGTGTCTCCTGACTCATACTCTTCTACTTAACTCTTCCCCAGTCTGGGGTGGAGTTCTTCAAAGGTGCAGGCCAGCCGCTCCCTAAACTCTGAGCAGAGCTGAGGCAGGTCAGGCTCCAGAGGATGCTACTGGGCAGTGTGGGCAGTGTGTATCTGGCAGCTAGGAGAAGTGTTAGGACATCAAGGTCCACATTATCCTAATGAGCTTGAGGGCAAAGCCTGGGATCCATGAGGTAAGGGGATTTGAGGGTTAGGGCAGGGCAATCCCATTAGTGACAGAAAGGCCCCAGATGCCTCAGGCTCAGCTCCCCACCTGGCTCCAGAGTAGCCAGCCCTGCTCAGCCCTGCTTTCCTGCCAGCTGCCACCTGCCTTCATCCTCTGCTCTCCCTGGCACCTGCTCCGTGTCAGGCTCTGTGCAGGGGCTGAGCACAGTGAGACAGCCATGTTCCCACCCTCCTGGTGGTCAAAGCAGCAGGGATCTGTGAGGATGGAAGGGCTGGGGCCACATCACACCAGGGCCCTGTGGGCCACAGTTAACTTTCTAATTGTGCAGGTACCTTACCTGAGCACTGTTACGTCTGAGCCTCAGCTAGCCCCCTCCAGAGCACAGCGGTGATTCTTCCTGTGTCCCTCCAAGTAGATGCTTCCTCCCAGGCAGCCCCCTTGAGTATACCTTCCTCTGCTTGCATACCTACCTCCAGAAGAGCATACCACCTTTTTGTAGCTGCTTTGGGGGTAGCAGCAGAACTCCCCACAAATAGACAGACCCAGACAAGTATCACTGACCTTTCTCGTCTTGACCCAGCCCTATCTTGCCATCCCCTTACTCAATTCCTGAGTTCCAAACCTGGGCCATCATGATACAGCCCAGCCTAATGCTGGCCCTCTTCAGGCTCCAGCCCATGGCAGGAGCTCTGATTGCCCTGGCCTTGGCCAGGGTGGGTATGGTTGGGCATTGACCTGTCTCGTTGAGACTGAGCAGGGAGGGAGAATAACTGTGGGGCTTGCCACTCAATACCAGGCATCCCCACATCTAAGCCAGTCCCATTTTGCAGGAACAGACAACGCAAGCTGGGAACAAAATTGCAGTGACTGGTGGGTGTTGCTGGGTCAAGCCTCCGAATCTGGCCTGTACCATGCCTTGCATGATGGATGGACATGATGATGGATGGAGGGGTGAAGCAGAGACCTCTACAGACCTAAGTCACCAAGTGGAGCCTTTTTCTTTCTTACTTTAATTTTAATGGACATGGTGGACCAAAGGGCTGAGTCAGGCCCTCAGTGAGGACCCTGGGAGGGCCTGCTCTCTGTGGGTCACATGGCCAGAGACCCTGGCTCTGCTGCTGTCCGCTCCTGACTGGGTGGAAAGTGCTCTTGGCATGGGCCCTGGGTTGGATAGAGCACGGGGGCTCGGTCCTCTGGTCTTGAAACCAGGAACTCCAGGTGGCGAGTGCACACTATTTATTTTTTGGGATTATGGAGTCTGGGCTGAAGAGGCTGCTCTGCGGTGGCTGCCCTGTGTACAGAGGGGCCCAGGTCAGCTCCCAGGCCGTGCCCTGAGCCACAGGTTGGATAGCCTGCCTCCTGTTGGACCTGAGTGGGGCCCTGGGGCCTGGAGCCCATGAGTGAGCATCCCCTGCTCTCCCTGCCACCATTGCCATTCCAGAACCTTGTCAGTGTTTCCTTGTCTGGGGGCAGGGCCCAGAGTGAGCACCCGTCTGTCGGCTGCTGTCATTGTGTTCTTCCCTATATCAACCCAACATCACAAGGGCTTTCTCTGGTCCTCTATCCCCAAGACAGTAATCCCTTCCCGACAAAAGAGCCTGCACATATGGGTAAGCACACCCAAGCGTTTACAGCTCCTTTTGTCTGGCCATCCAGTAGCATCTGTCTTCATTCCCACTTGAACAAAGCAGGAACCAGGAGCTAGGATTCTGGCAGTGTGGCCGTGCTGACACCCTCCCCCATCAGCTGCCCCGTGTGCTCTGGATTTCTCCCTGTCCTTCTGGCCTGCCCTGGAGGCTAGAAACCTGTGTGGGTTGACCCTGGAGGCTGCCTGGGTGTGGGCTCTCTGATCCCCACCTGCCCAGCTGCAAGGGGTCCCTCTTCGGGCCTCTCTCTGAGTTGCCCTGCCACGGTTGTGGAGATGCTTCCAGAACTGAAGCAGCCCCTGGGGACTGTGTTTGACACCCCCCCCCCTTTTCTTTGTGGAGGTTCCTAACCTGCTGCTGAAGCACAAGTTTTTGGTGCTTTCCTTTCGTGTTTGTTAAAGGCTGTGTCCAAGCCCCTCGAGATGCCAGGGCCAGGGCTGGTTTCTAGAGAGGTAGGTCAGTCATGTTCCCTCTTCTTCCCCTAGGATTTTTATTTTTTACTTTTTGCCTGAGACAAGCCAAGTGTGAGGTGGTTTAAGAAAATAAATGAAATTGTTTACTATTGTTTTAAAATAAAATCTGAAACTCTGGAGACTGAGTACACATTAACTGAGCTCATGGTGGGGGGTGGCCCTCTGGGACAGGGATGTGGTAAGGCCCTGAAGCCATAAGCATTTCCAGGATACTCAGTCCCTTCTAGCCCTGAAAGTGAGGGTTTGAATGACCTCAATATCTGCCACAGGGGCTTGCCAGCCTCTGGTGCCTATGTCACCACAGTCTGTCACCCAGAATAATCATGTCTGTGCTCCCGTCAGACGCCCTCCCTGCCTGGTAGAGGCTAGCCCTGGCCAAGGGTTCCTCTACAGAATAGTCTTTTTTTTTTTTTTTTTTTTTTTTTTTGGTTTTTCGAGACAGGGTTTCTCTGTGTCTTTGGAGCCTGTCCTGGAACTAGCTCTTGTAGACCAGGCTGGTCTCGAACTCACAGAGATCCGCCTGCCTCTGCCTCCCGAGTGCTGGGATTAAAGGCATGCGCCACCACCGCCCGGCTCAGAATAGTCTTGAGGACTGGGGAGTATCTGCCCTTCACAGTGGTTCCACGGTCAGCATCGCTTGTGCTGTCTGCTTCAGTGTGTACAGGTGGCCAGACGCCTTGCAGGACCGAGTGAGCACAGGCTGTCCTGAAGCAGGTGGTTTCCTTTCCTGGCAGGTTATGCCAAGGTGCACAGCCGCACCCTCTGGGTGAGGGGGTATGGGAGGTTACCATGGTCCTCACATGGTGGAGGAGGGTAGAATCTTAACAGTTAGTACTTCTGACTAGTAGTGACCCCAGGAGAAAGGATGTATCTTGGACTTGAAATTGTTGTCACAGTCTTTTAAGTTACAGTGAGCCCTGCCTGGGCTTCAGCTCTTCTCTGGGGCCACACCCTGAGAGCTCCTTTCTGTACACCTGCTGCCCTGGAACAGCTCGTGGGTGTGGTGTGAGACTGCGCTGAGACCTTTAGTTGTGCCATTTAGTGGCACAGTGACATTAGCTCTTCTGAACAGGTTTCATGGGAAAACTGGTCCATGCCACAGGGCAGGTGACACACAGGTCAGTCAGGCCATGAAGCACTTTCTTCACAGATGTGACAGCCTCTCAGGCCTGCATTCCAAGCACATGTGTACCCAGGGTCGTGGGCAGGATATGTACCCTCTAGCAGGTATCAGGGCTGGGGACAATCCATGGCTCTGAGCTGGTGGCTGACTCCCTAGGCTTTTGCCTCCAATGATGGGGGCCCTGCTTCACTACCCATCCTGATGAGTTCAGAGCAGGAGCTGCACCGGCTTTCAGGTCTGTAGCACCCCACTAGCTATGGACTTGGGAAGCCAGGAGGAGGGTGCTGTAGAAATAGACCCACTAGAGACCCACTAGGGTCTGGCACCACCCCTGGTGAGGACTCTTGGTTTCCCTGGGAGTGTGCTGGCCCACTGGCCATTTGGACAGCCGCCCTCAGAACCAGAGACACCTAGGGTGGCAAGGCCAGGTCTTTGGCCTCTACTCCCCCCCCAGCTGAAGCTCGTCTTCACCAGCACTTCTCTTTATTGATCACCTGGAATATTCACATATGAACCATGAACGTAGTTTTGGACAAGCTGAATGGAAGCAAGAAGGCTGGGGCAGGAGTCACCAGAAAGAGCGTAGCAACTGGGAGATGGCACCTCGAGGTGGGTGATGGAGGCGAGGCCTCAGGGGGCCGAGAGCCTCAGCGTGAGATAGTTCTCTGAGTCCTGGTCCTTGGGCGTTCATAGGTGACACATTTCAGCTTGGCCGTGGAGACGGTAGTGGCTGGCCAGGGCTGAGGAAAGGGGCTCTTCACAGCCCCAGCTCTAAGAGATGGGCTAGCCTGGTTCCCTGGGGCTCATGGTGGTGAGCTGAACTCAACCCTGGCACTTGGACTATGGCAGATGCTGAGGACAGGACCTGGAAGGCACTTGGCTTGGACCTTGGGGCCCTGCTAGAGGTTTTCCCTGGCTCAGTCAAATTGGAGGGCACAGGAACCAAGGAACAGCCATGGCAGGTGTCCATCCCAAAGAAGGCGTGGTTGTAGTACTGGCAGGCCTTGGCCTGGGCTCAGAGCTTGGCCCTGGGGTGGTTCTGTAGTAGGCTACGCATGTCCAGCAGAGCTTTCTCCAAGTAGTGAGCCATGCGGGCAGCGTTAGTCTCAGCACAGCTGTTGTAGGCTGACACAGAAAAGTTTATATGGGCTTCCATGGGGTTATAGCAGATGCCATATCCATCTGGGACCACGGGGCCGAAGAACATGACGCAGTCTGTCTTGGCAGGCACCTGGGGACAGCAGGTTCAAGGTTCTCATGGCCAGGCCTACGGTGGCCCTCCTGCCCCTTGGTGTACCAGTCTGCCTCTGTATCCACTCCCCCCAGCTCTTTCCTTTTCTCCATGGGGTGAGCTTTCCTTCACATTCCTAGAGAGAGCAGTGGTGCCCCTCTGTGCTCCTCTGGCCCCCAGCACTGCCTCCCAGCTTGTGCTCCACAGATCTGGGGAGTTTCCTGGGACTGTGGCTCGTCCCCAGCTGTGTCCCAGCACTCAGCACGTGTTAGTTGGTATTGATCAGGGAGTCAATTACAAATGGAACCAATTCTCTGAGAGGCCTAAGCCTTCCCATCCTTGTCATAGCAGCGTTCCCACCCTGAGCTCCTGCTTGGGAACTCAGTTGCTTTGGCAATGAGTCTATGGTGACCTGTGTGGGCCACATTACCCCTAAGGTCCAGCTGCCAGTGGGTTCTAAAGGTTATTCGTATTTTATATATGTGTATGCCTGAGCGTGGGTATGTGTGCCACATGTATGTGTGTGCCCACAGAGGCCAGAAGACATCAGCTAACCCGGAACTGAAGTTATAGGTGGTTGTAAATAACCTGATGAGGGTGCTGGGAACTGAACCTGGGTCATCTGGAAGAAGAGCAAGTGCTCTTAGCCATCACTCCAGCCCCTGCCAGTGGGTTCTACTAACCCTACCCTGGGGGCACCTAAGGCGGTGGCCTACCTGGCTGGTAGAAAGATTGAAGTGCATAGCAATGGCATAGGAGGTATCCATGAAGATGTCAGGCATGCTCACAAGGTCCTCAATGGCTTGCAGCTTAAGACCCAGGAGGTGCCGGTCAAAGGCTTCCCCTCGGATTGCCTGTGGGAGGGGGAACTGTAAGAGGCGGGTGCTGCAGGGTCACATCCCTGCTCTCCTCAGGAGTCTGTGACACTGGTCTCTCGGAAACATGAGGTCAAGGTGTCCAGGTAGAAGAGCCCTCACCTCCCAGATGGGGAAACTAGGACCATAGAGGAATAGACAACTGGCCGGGGAAGCAGAACAGTGCAGGACTTAAAACAAGCTTTTACCAAGTGGTGGTGGATCACACCTTTAATCCCAGCACTTGGGAGACAGAGGCAGGAGGATCTTCTCAGTTTGAGGCCAGCCTGGTCTCCAGAGCAAGTTCCAGGTCAGCCAGGGCTACACAGAGAAACCCTGTCTTGAAAACAACAAACCAAACCAAACATGAGCTCTGGTAATGAGCGGTTGGTTCAGTGTCCGCGTGTAAGATGAGCAGTGTCCATGTATGCCATGGAACAAGGTCAGGTGGGGTCTGCACTGTGTTTAACAGGGCAGCGTCTGTGCATGTGGAGTAAGACGGGACAGTGTGCCCTTCGTATGACAGGCAGTGTCTATGTGTGCCTTGCTTGTAGCATGGACACACTGTACCTACTAATGCTCAGACCACCACCTGTCGAGCTGCAGCCTCAGCTGCTGGAGAGCAGGAGAGATGCCATCTGCTGGGCCATCAGGGAGCGTGCACAACACGAGACAGGAGGGGAGGGCATGTGCTCAATGCCATCATGGAACTGGGACAGGGCAGTGGCTAGGTTGACCCTGGTTTCACCAACTTTCAAATTGTAATATTAATTACTTTTTAAATTTATTTTGCATGCATTGGTATTTTATCTGCATGTATGTCTGTGTGATGGGTGTTGGATCCCGATTACTGACAGTTGTGAGCTGCCATGTGCTGGGAATTGAACACAGGTCCTCTGGAAGAGCAGTCAGTGCTCTTAACCACCAAGACATCTCTCCAGCCCAGCGATATTAATTTAAAATAGTGAGATTCCCAGGGGCTCTAGAGAACAGACAGACAAGCAGGGGTGGTAATGAATAGTAAGGAAGGAGACCAGGGCTCACTTACTCGGTCAGTGTAGGCTCGGTGGGCCTGCACGGCCTTCCGAAGCAGCTCCACTTTCTGCTGCTCCTGGGGGTGGGGTGGAAAACAGGAAGTTGAAGTGCTGTCCCTCCTCTCCCTTGTTAGCAGCTCACTCTGCACCCAACACCACAGCAAGTACTGAACCACCATGGCCTCCTTCTCCAGAGCCCAGCACTCGCTGCTGATGTGAGTGGACAGAGGGCTGGCCGGCTTCTCTTATGAACAGATGGAGAGATGGTTTCGCCTTGGGTGCCAGGAAGCTCAGAACTAACTAAATTCATGGCTCCATCTTCTGTTAAGTTCCCTTTGCCCACCTTGGGGCTGGAATACCATCGGGGCGCAATCCATTTGCACAGAAAGGGTGAAGAGAAAAGGATGACCAGCACGGCCTACCCACCCTGCCCCAGACCGCTCACCGGCACATTGCTGTCATCCATGCTTTTGACAAAGGCCAGTGAGTCTGTGGAGGCTGAGCGGATGGTGTCAGTGCGGCCCAGGTGGAACATACGCAGAGAGGCACTTTCATATGTGGCACATGCCTGTCCATAGATCCTGGATGGGAGGTGGATCTCAGTATGGCCCCTCTCTACATGGCTGCCTGAAACTCCCCTCCCCTCCTCCTCCGTGGGGCAGGTGATCAGGTGCACCTGTAGTATGCCAGCTGCAGGGCTATCTGGATGAAGGCGTCAGGGCTTAGCTTCTCTGACTTGGGGAAGTCCTTTCCAAAGTGATGGAATACCAGTATGGTGATGTCCAGGTCCTGGATCATGCTGGGGTGGGAGGTGCAGGAGGCATGGGTGAGAAGCAGGCACCTGGAAGCCTTGTGGCTGGCCCTCCCCGACAGGA